GCTCCTCGCCCATTCGAAACGCGGACCCTCTCTCGACCTTCCTCCTCCTGCTCTCCTCCACCCTTCGACTCTACCACCCTCGGTTGTCTTTTTTTGCTTTATTTCTTTCTCATCTTCTTCCTCTTTCCCTCCTTCGATTTCTCGGCCCCGCCTGCTTCTATCCGGCTAACATTACGAAACGCATCCTCGGATCCTCGTAGATTCGAGAGCTCGGAATTCCATGAAAAAAAGGCGCCGTGCGAGGAGAGTAGAAAATGTTTCCGAGATCGATTGGCCGAGATGAAGAACTGAACGTATGTCGAAACATAGGTCTCGCGATCGCGGATAGTGTTTTACTTATGGCTGATATTTATTAAGATACTATAGGTATAGGTATACAACGAGAATTAACTGTCTGTGAGCTAGCTGAATGTTATTTCTTGTTCCTGATAGAGTTCGTGCATTACATAAATTAAGAAAAGGGAGTTCTTCGAAACATTCCTTTTAAAGAATAAATAGTACAATTGTTAAACATAATAATTATTAAAAACTTAGAAGGTATAATTTTCGAGATATTTTCGAGAGAGAGAGAGAGAGAGAGAGAGAGTTTAAAAGTTCATAATATAAAAAATCTTGAATTTTGCAAAATTCAACGAAACCAGCACATTGAATCTCTAACAATAAGAGAATTAAGCTGTATCGAATTATTTCTCATTTCTGATGGAGTTCGTACATTACATAAATTAAGAAAAGAGAGTTCTTCGAAATACTCCTTTTTAAAGAATAAATAGTATACAATTGTTAAATAATAATTATTGAAAACTTTGAAGTTACGTATGTTTTTTCGAGAAAGAGAGAGAATGTGCGCGCGTGTGTTTAAAAATGATAACTCCGAGCTAAAAAATCTTGAGTTTTGTATAAAATTTAACGAAGCCAGTACATTGAATCTCTAAGAGAATTAAAACTCGGCATATTTATCGGAGAGAGGAATGCGGGCTTGCGATATGCGTTTGATATATAACGAAAGAACGGCTTGGAATGAAGCATCACGTGCATGAAGAGTGCGCCTCTTCGTTCTCGCGGTGGTTCTCCGTTGTCAAGCGGACAATATCTTCTCGTGTTACGACGACGTTACCGCGCTGTCGAACAAAACGAACGACGCACACGTATACACACGAATGTACAGTCCGGGTTCTCTCAACTGACACACACACGTCCGTGAGATATCGTGTTATAATTTGTTGTTACTGTCGGCGACGTAACATTGAGAAACATTCATGCGTCTCATCTTTCTTTATGTTCTCCCACCTCGTTTTGTGGCTAAGAAAACGTTCCGATATGCGTGTAAATCGATATTGGTCGTTAACCAAAACCGAAAAGTACATTCCCTTCTTTCTGAATATATAATATATGCAAGTGATAAATCAGAATCGCTTCGGTTCAGTATTTTTGCATATACATTATACGAATCTTGTTATAATTTCGCACACGCGCATTATTAAATATTTTTTCTCGAAAAATTATAAAAAATATATAATAAAGACCCCCACACAAAAAACATATGTATAGTTGCTTCGATTTCGTTTGGAAGAAACAAATTTTAATTGAAAGTTCGAGAGACTCTAACTTGATTAATCAAAATTGAAAAGTGTATTTCCTTCTTTCTATAATATATCTAAATGAATAAATCGAAGTATCTCCTCCTTTGAATTCGGTATACATGCGCATTTTTTTCAAAAAATTAAAATAAATTAATTTAAAAAAATTAATTAAAAAATTAATTAAAAATAAAAAAATACAGTGGAGATCCAGAAATATATATAGTTGCTTTTATACGATTTCGTCCAGAAAAGAAGGGTTTTAATTGAAAGTTAGAGACTTCAACATTGACTCGCGTTAATCGAATAAGAGCGAAAATCGACTCTCTCCTTTTTTTCTCTCGATCCTCAACCGTTTGCCGCGGAAAAGGAAAATTGTTGAAGTGTTTCTCGCGTGTGTTTACACCTTCTCCTCCCACATATTACAAATCCGAAGGTTTCCTTGTACACCCGGAACAAAGAAACTCACAATACCGCAATGCCCTCGCGCCGTTTTTATGGTTTACTCCAAATCCCGTTAGAGGATTTCACCTCGGCGGCGTTAAAAAAGAAACGACAAAGCGTATCGGGCGGGGTCGACAACCGCAGGTTTCGATATCTCGAGAATCCAAGAAGGCGAGTATCTCCGGAGCACTCGGTATATTACGGATCGAAGGGGGCAATGCGATATTTATTTTCCTTCCGCGAAACACCACCGTAACGCGACGTAACCGAATAGCTATTCTGTGTAATCGATGATAAAAGAGCGGAGCAACAAGAGCAAACAAATCCCGGAACTGCTTCCAACATTTATCGATCACATTATTCTCTCTCTTCCCCCATCATATTATATATCGCAATCGTCGAGGTCCGATTGCAATTTAATTTATAACTTCTATTGTAATAACTTGATGATTCATTTATTAGCAAAATTATGGAATATTTTACCGACGTTAATTTAACCGCAATTAAATGCTCGTTAGCGTCGTCTCGAGTTATCATCAGCATCATCTCTCTCTGTCGACGCAAGAACAAAAGGAATTAATTTGCGGCGGGAGAAATAAATAGATCGGAAAAAGAAAAATAATGAATAAAGAAGCGCAGGATAACTGGAATTTGCCTGTAGAAAAAAAAAATCTGTAAATTCTTTTGAACAACGCGAATATAATAGAAAGGCACTCGTGTGCCGGATGAAAAATATCGGCCGTGTATAAGCATATATATCCGAGGAGATCGGAGCGAAATAAAATTCACGCACGATATGTACACGGGAAGAACATGAAGAAGAACAGGAGGAGGATGAAGACGAGTGGTGTTATTCGCCGGGATGCGGAGGATGCTACTTGAATAGGAACCGGAACTCGCGATTCGTGCTCGGAATCGACTACGCGATCGCACAGGCCGCGCATATGAATCAGATAAAAAGACAGCCGGAGGATTTTATACCGCAAAGAGAAGGGAGGAAGGAGAGGTTATCGCTTCGTCATTGATTTCTTCGACGTACGAAAATAAATCCAGACACGTGTGTGTGTGTGCGTGTGCAACACACATATACACACACGGGGAATGACACATTGTCGGCCGGACGATCGCGAAACCGCAGGAACGAATTGAAAACCACCGCGAGACTGAAGCCTAGGTTTCTTACGGTCTATCAAAAACTGGGACGATCGCGACTATCGGAATCGCGAAATTAACGACAGGGCGTTTTCTCGACCGCGAGAGAGGAGGGGAAGAGACACTCCCGCGGCAATGACTTTGCACGTTGCAACTGCATAGGATAAATGCACCAGGTGTATCAGCGAGCGACCGGAAAACGATCAATAAATTTCATTGTCAGTTATATTTCCATATGGTCACGTACACAAAATTATTTATAAAGCGTATATAAATAATGTATAAATCAACAAATATGTACACTAAAAAATTTGTTGACTTGACTAATCCTTGCAACTAAATATTATTTTGTTAATATTGAAGATTATAAAAATATTTAAATAAATCTAAAACAAAATGTATATATATTTGACTTAAATACTAATATATGTTCAATTAATAAAATAAGTAATTTAGTTGAAAGATTTAGTCAAGTTAAAAATTTTTTTCAGTGTACAAATAATGTATGAATATACATATGACCATATGAATAAGATGATTGAATATTCGAAACAAGAATAAATTGATCTCAGAATTTGTGAGATCAAGTTTAAAAACATTTACATATTTTTAAAAATGTCTGACAAATTATATCCTTCAATTATATACTTATTATCCCCTTTTGCAATCAAATTAACTTTAGTTCAATATATTCCGAACGATAAAGTAAGCCTGAACGTTGTATTAATTTTTGTATTTAACATTAATTTTCCATCAATTTACGCCAGAATCAAGTAAGATGCTAATATATTCTTTTTAACACATAACGTCATACAAGATTTTAGAAAAATATCAAGTACAAGAAAGATTGATACATGCCATAATTATACATCTGGCAAATGACAAAAATATAAATTATGGTTCGACACATAAATATAAAATGTCGTGTCGTTTGGTGCAAAATTAAAAATGCACTCGAAAAATAAATATCTTTTATGTATTTTTCGAAAAGAGAGGAGAGTAAGAAATGTACTTATCCGGGCAACGACAAGTCCGTAATTCTCTTTGACCCTGCTAACCTTGAATCGGGCGCGACACATCGCGTAAATATGAAAAAAGCGAATGTCCACATAAATAAGGGACGGCAATAAATATCTCACGCGTGATAAAGTCGGTATTTTTATCGCTTCGCTTGATAAAGAATCTGGAGATCCTCGAGTAATAAAATATCATTTTCATACTTGAATTCCCTCTAAAACTCTAAAATTATGCGTATTAATGTTGCCACATTACAAGAAAATAAATGCCTTTCAAATAGATGTAACAAAAATAGTTTACAAATTTATGTTAAATATTTCAAATATAATCGTCACAATATATTCACGTAAATTCTTACTCTTCAAGAATTTCGAAAAACACATTTTTAGGAAACTTCTACATCAGCCGAATCATAGCTGATGAAAGGGCTGCAAATTCTCGTCCCAACGCCAGGTGACGCTTAACTTAAATTCGTGCACGAACAGCAAAATTCGACGTTGCCTGTCATCGGGCGAGGGGAGGAAAGGGAGGGGGAGGAAGGGAGAGAGGACTTCAAAAGCGTGCATCTAAAAATCCAGAAAACACTCTGGACACACAAATCGACATTTTCGTTGCATCACAACGAGATCTGATCAAGGAAGTTGTCTGAAAATGACCACGTGCCGCGAAGAAAAGCCGACTTTTTGCCGGCCGGCCGGCATTTCGCGACTCGAGACTCGGCTACTTCATGCTCGTAACGGAAAATTTTGAAACTCGCGATAACAGGCACGTCCGCGATGCTTTCGTACGCGATTACTTACTAGCACTCACCGGTGAGCAGGCGAAATCTTGTCGTCGCAGATCCACGAGAAAGCACAGGTCCTTCTAGGTTCAAGTCGGAATCACTCGCAATCAACGGAACACTTCACTAGAGGAGGAGACGCCGGTGATCACTACGTTTCGACTCTGCTGCTCGACTGCACTGCGCTTGTGCGTCCCCCGGCCGGCTGCAAGCGCTCGCGTCGCGACGCTAGCGCCATCTAGCGGCAGCCGCGCGCAACGAGCGGCTGCGAAAGCGCGCGAAAATCGCGGCGGTTCAAACGTCCGCTCGAACGATGTAAATTCCTCGAGCCTGAAATTAAATATCTATGCTCAGACACTGATGCACAAAATGGCGTGCAACAATTTCACGATGATATTTTGTATACATAATTTTATATTACACATTCACTTCTCTCGTTCTCTGAATCTTTTCCGCCTTCTCTTTTTTTATTATTGAAATGCGTTTTGATATGTCTCAATATCTATCTATTTTTTTATTGTTGTCAAAATATGATTGTGCTAAAGTGGTTATTATATATATAATATTTGAAAAATCTAATTAGAATGTCGTGTCCAATGATGAAATTTATTATTCAGGCTGTAATACCTGATTCAATTATTTCATTTCCTTTTACGAGTAACATATAATAGTAGTAATGAAAGAGGGAAAGAGAGACTTACGTACCGCCATCAGAGATATCCCGCAAATTTCTGGGACACCTCGTTTCCTCGCGACTCGAACTCGATTTTTTTCACGTCCCGGCTTTTACTTCGTAGAATCCTGAATTTCACCGCGACGCGAGAATGCACAAGTTCCGCAGGAAGCACGAAATTTAACGTTGTCGCAAATTTAAAAGTTGTCGAGCGGACGCGAAATGCGGACAATGGATTTTTTCGTGACGGGAACCGGACGTTAAGAACAATGGCGTGAAATTATTTCGTCGCACACATATCGATTACTCGTTCGACCGAACACGTATGTATCGTTCGCGCATTTCGCAGAATACTTCGCACATTGTAGGTGGACAATTTCATGCGTGTTCACGCTCGATACGTTTGAAACGTATCATATGCTTTTATTAACTTCATGGTTGAACTTATTTAAATTTAAATTACTTATCACTATATATAAATATATATAGCATAGCAATATTTATTATTATGCAATATCGCGCATAACAATTTTTACTTTTGCATAATAATCTTGTTTTAGTACACGAATAAAAAAATTATGCATAAGTAAAAATTGCAAAAAAATTACTTATCACTATAACATCACAATATCTGTTTATTATTATGTAATATCTCGTATAGCAATTTTTACTTTTTTGCAATTTTTACTTTTGAATAATAACTTCTTTTTTGTATTATTAATACATGAATGGAAGATCTAAATTTTTCTTTCCATACCCAACATATAAAAATCCATAATGTGGCGAATTCAACTTATGAAAGAAGGTCATTCCATGCCAATATAGACTGTGCAAAATGACCAGACGACCACCCATGAGAAATTGCATATCCCAACATTCTGAAAATAAATAAATAGATATATATTTTTAAAAAGACATGCTATACATATACATAAAACTCTGTGATCATAAAATAACGTCGTCACATTTTTCTTGCGATTTAATTTAATTAATTAAATTCTTAACTCTATCGCTACTTGTCTGTATATAAAGCGATATACCTCGAGGAACGTCCATGTCTATGCTGTCCAGGAAGTCTAATGCATAATTATAATCAGGCCGAGACAGTAAATTGGTATTCCATTTCTCTTTCGGCATCCAAGCGTGCAAGTAGGACTTGAGATGACAAGCATCCGAAGAGCGGAGACCTTCAAAGCTCGGATTCTCGATCACGTCGCCATCCGGACATTTGAACCAAGCCCCACGTGGAATTATCGCTGCGTCTTCAGTGATAGATTCCACAACAGCTGCGAGACGATTTTCTTCTTTCAGCTCCTTTGGCACAGGACCCTGCATTCACAGTATTTTCTTTACATTGTTTATTACATAAATTTCTTGATCATTATAAAGCTATACTTAATATGTTCTTTGAGTTAAATTAATTGAATTATTTAATTTTAGCAATTTCTTGAAGTTGAGTGGATTTTTTGGGGAAAAAAATTGAAGGAACATCCTCTAATTGTTGATTACATCGTAATAAGCTTTGGGATCCTCATCTGGTGGAAATGGTGGGTTGACATTATAAACATTTGTGACAATGGATGGATCACCATCGAATCTGTTGACCGCCAAAGGACTCAGGAAACGTCCACACTTTGTTGCTTTTGGCAGCAACAACCAGTTTATGCCATCTGTGCTATATAAAAGAACAGAAATAGTTAAGTTTTCATTTAATTATAAATTGATCCAAAGATAATATAAGTATCAAAATTAAAGAGAAAAGTTGAGACAACATTTTTTAGTAATTAGTTTTATATAATTAAAATATGCATTTAATTTTAAATATTACATACATATCCAATTTTCTATAAAATTGCATTTTAATATACTTAAATTTTACTTTAAAAACTTGAAAATTAAATTAAATTTACCTATAATAATATACTCTGCCATTCATGCAATCCTTTTCATAGCCGAATGCAATATGATAATCATTTTGTAATCCATTAATTCTACCCCAATAATAACATTTTCGGAAATGATTTTCTGTTTGCAAAATAAGCAACGAATTTTGCAGCAGCTGCGAATTCTCAGTACTTATACAAATACCAGCACAACCTAGAACATCCAAAGTTTCCAATAATTTCAAACAGTCCATTTTGCGCAAACTTATGATAATTGTAATAAATTAAAAGTATAGACAAAAATATATTTCTTTTTTTTTATATTTCCTATGTCTATGATTAAAAGCCATAAAAGCTAGAAGCTCGAATATTCTTTTCTCAAATGTTACCTTTCTCATATGTTTACCCTCGTATAACCTAAAATGTGTCAAATGTTTTGACAGTACACGTGATACGCATTATACGTCGAGAGATAAATTTGCGTCGATTAACTGGAGTTCGACAACGAAACATGTCTTCAGAAGAGGAGGGCGATGAATTGCAAGACTTGGAGGCGATACGAGATAAGATGCTTAGCACACCACGTAGTGAACGTATGCAAGTGAGCGCCTGGGAAGATGACGACGATGGTGTAATAGCAGAGCGTAATGCAAAAGGTTATAATTTCTGACAAGTATTTCTATATCGCGTTGAGAGATCAGTTATTTTTGTAAGAATGTTAAAATGGAAAAAATAAAATGCACTTTTACAATCTCCAATTTTTTATGAAAATTGTCCAGTTATGTCAAATTTATAATAATGTTGTATTTCTTTTAGAACCTGATGCGAAGGCTATGTTGAGTGCTGCTGAGGAGGGAAATCTAGAAAAATTAAGGAATTAGTGCAAAAGAACAGCCTTTTGTTAGAATGCACTGATAAGGATGGCTATACTCCACTTCATAGAGCGTGTTACAGCAATAATATAGAAGTAGTTAAGGTAAAAATAGAAGAACTTGTTCTATTCTTTAATATTCATAAAAACTAGTTTAAACAGTATACGTTATAATCTTATTATTATTTCTCAACAGTATCTACTAGAAGCGGGAGCAAAAATAGATGCTAAAACTCAGGATGAATGGCAGCCTTTGCACTCTGCATGCTGTTGGAATAACACGGAATGCGCTGAAACATTGATTGCAAATGGAGCAGATATAAATGCCAAAAGTAAAGGGGATCAAACACCTTTACATCTGGTATGTGCTAGTTCTCATAACTCCCCTGCTCTTCAGCTTCTTCTATTACATGCAGATATAAATCCTTATATAGTAAACTCAAGTGGTGATACTGCAGATCAAATTGCAAGAAGGACAACAAAATATTATCCAATATTTGAAATAATTGAACCTTGCCTTAATGAAATTTGAAATAAATAGTTATATATTAAGTAAATACATTAGATAAATAAAATCAGTTTTAATGCATTAAAAACAAACCTATATATATATAACATTTTTGACATATGTGGCAGTAGTTATTTACAAAATTCCTAAGTCTGATCACAATGCTGATTGAACGAGTATTTATATATATATATATATATATACATAGTTTATATACAAATATTTTGACATATACATATATATGTATATATATGTCAAAAATATTTGCAAAAATTCCTAAAAAAATAATTTCTATAAACATGTTCTTTAATTTATTACTCCAACGTTACTTTATAAAAATTTATATACATAAATTATAATAAAAACAAAAAGCGAAACATATAATCTATATGAATATAATATATGTATATATATGGTACAATATAAAAATATATAAAAATATAATGATTCATACTAGGTATAACTAGGGATCTAATCATTGTATTAATAATCGAAGAATCAATAAGATAATACTTCGGTACATCATTCATTTTGCTTTCAATACATGTCATGATCATGACTAAAAGTAAAAAAGATTCAAGAGTGTAATTAACTAATTGAAAATTAACTCTTAAATAATAACGCAAAAATAATCTATTAAATAATATTGAAAACAATAAAGAAAACAAAACAGATAAGAAAAACGTAATAAACGTAATATAGAAAATAACATCACTTTTATGCTTCCAATCTAATTCTCTTTCTTTATACACAAGCTTTCTTCTCAGTTCATACGACATTTGTCTTTATATCAGGTTTAGATTGTTTGGACGATGATTGTACAGGTCAGAATGACGTTAAATTGACGAATTTCGGAGTACCGTTACTGAGCCGCTTAGATCCTTCCCAAATTAGAACAGTAGAGTCCTCCGTGACCGCGTATAAATGATGCTGATCCAGGGACCATACAACAGCAATTATTGCACAACTATCTTTCACGTTATTCGAAATTTCTCTGACTAACTGCAGATCCCAACTGCTCCATAATCTGCATTCGAAAACACTTTTATTTGTTGTTCATAGATTTAACAAATTGCAATACCTATATACATACCTTATTATTCCATTGTCTAAACCAGTTGCAATAACATTGACAGAAATACCTTCCGGTGCACTGCTATAACAAAGTGCTGTTACACGTCTTTTGGATAAGATAGAGCCTATACTTTTCGCATTTATAGTGTAAACTCTTAATTCAGATCGATCGGCGCTTACGTTGTCCTCTGACCTAGGAATCTCGTAAGTAACTGCTACATCACCAAGTGTTTCGCTGATACACAAGAGATGTATTGTATAACCTTGATCGTAGACTATTGACCTCACATACATTAGACTGTTTCAAAACAAAGAATATTTGAAAAAAATGAATTACTAAACATAACAAAAAATTTATTTTTATATTGTGTACCTGTTTAAATCCCAAATAACGATGACTCCATTAGCATCTCCAGAGCAAGCGATACTAAACGCACGTGATAAAGCTATTGTTGTCACTCGACTTCTATGGGCTAAAAGTATTATTGCGGGTGCTAAATTGAATTCGATTTTGCCTGTAATTCCGATAGTATATGTATGCACTGTAATTCTGCCTGATAAATGTCCAATCCAGAGTTGTCCACAATCTGGAGTAGATCCTAATGTCGTGATCTAAATAGTAATTAAGTAATTTGCAATTACTTCATTTAACATTTTATTTTCGAAATAACTTAAATAATGTTATATATAAACTCGCGTTTTCTCTTTGTTTTATTATTTAATTCTTAAAGAAGGAGATCTTAAGCTTATTATGATATATGTATTAAAATACTTACGGGATCGAGGCCTAAGGATTTAATTAAAGGTCTCGGTGGTTGTTCCTTTTTACATTTTAATCGAGCAATTCCATCTGTTCCGCTCCATGATGCCAATGCAGCACCCAAGACAGACATGCCGCTTAACATACTACCACCTGTAGCAAAGAGATTTATGAAATATCATACTATGTAAAACTTCGCGAATTGTATAAAAAGCGCAATAATATACAAAAATTGCAATATAAATCAATGACCTTTCTCTTTAGTGTAAGTCAGGAGAAGTGTCGTATAATTAGGCAATCCAAAAACATCACCGGTTGCTAGAGGAATTAAAGATGCTAATGGAGTTTTGTGCTTCAGGTTCCAGCATAATACGGGCTTATTGCCGGGCGCGCCTACATAGTTTCCCCATTTTATACCTGCAATTATATCAGACATTCGTTTAATAAATTTAATATATAATTTTATGTAATTCGGTGTTTGTGATAATAGTAGATAGTCTAAATCAACAAAAAAAATTTACCACTGACTCCTTCGATAACGTGTGTCTGATTAGGAAGCGTTACATTGCCAAGATTTTGAATCAATGGATGAGGAGCTCTAAATAACTGCGCAGGCGTTTGACCATAAGTTCGTATCATCGTGTCCCAAGCTTGACGTTCTAAAGGATCAGCTATTTGTTCCACGTCAAAGTAATAAGTCTAAATACAAAAAATGAATTATTGATACTCATTCACTTATTAATATATTTATATATATAAATATATAATAAATAAAATATTATATATAAAAAATATTATATAAAGAGAGAGCGAATAAATTCTGTTGTAATGACGTAGAACCAACGTACAGCAGGATGAAAGACATTTAAAGCCTCTACCGCTGGTTTTCCCGTTTGTCTAAATCCAAAAACGAGATCGATCCAGTATGGTAATACTTCTCTCACGATGTCTGATTCCAATGCAGCTCTATGCGCCAATATAAATAGACGCGGGTCGCCACCGCACCATTTCGGCAATTCGACGTCTCCAACTTTGTTACCATTTTGTCGAACACCAAAATTAAATCCTACAATACAAAAAAAGTATTTGCAAATGTATTCGCATTACTTTTTATTTTATTCTAATTTACCTTCAAAATTTAATAAAAATTCAGGTAAATAGAAAAATTCCGGTATTAATTCCTTCACATCTGTTGTGGAATCGCAACTAGTTAATCTCCATGTGGTAGCTATTGCATGGAATGTTCGATCAGGAATATCAAAACTATTATCTGCAAATAAACATAATTTTAATGAGGATAAATTTTATTTATATTATCATAAAAAAAAGAATAGTTTTAATAATTACCTTGATAACATAGGAACATACTAGTGAACGGTGGAAGCCGTACCAAGAAATGCAACACCGTACCAGAATTACTATAATGAGATCCGTAATGAAATGGTATTTTATTTAAGGCGATTGGATTTGTTCCTTCTGTTTGCTTCAAATACTGTATCAAGATATAGTCATTAATGTCTTTAGAAAAATATCAAATATATAATTATATAATGATAACGTGTAATTATTTTTAAAAATCTGCTTACATTATAATTATTTATAAAATGTTGTTCGTTCTTTTTATCTTGCACAGCCATAGGTCGTTTGAAATTTCTATAATACAAATACATTAGTGTATTCAAGAAAATTATCAATCAATATTCCATATATCTTTCATATTATTTACCGATAAATTTTTGGATTGTTCAAATCAATCTTATCGCTGATATAATCTGCCAAGACAAACGGAAACACGGGATACTGCATCAAGTCGTTATACGAACGACCCGCCAGTTTGTTCAAGCAAATAATGTATTCCCAATTAGTGAGCGCACCGCTTCTCCACAAGGCTAGAGCCTCTCCCAAATCATCACCGGGGATTCGCCTGGGCAAATTGCAAGCAGATAACTCGGTCGCAAATTCATCCCTGTCCTCGGACGAATTGAAAGCCAATAAGTACGTTCTACCGTTAATGAGAAAGATCTCGATGGCTCTCTCTTGCAACTGATATCTTCTTCTATGCAATTCGCGAATGTCTTCAAGACGCCAAGCAGTACCACCGGTTATTGCCAAATCAAAACCACCCAGTGCTATCTACAATTAATAATATGGTTAAATGAAAAAAAATAATGGTTGATTATAATTATACAAGAGACACTAGGAGAAAAATTGCTTACATCCGTATGTAACGGCACATCAGGATTATCAGGAACAAAATACACGCATGTCTCGCCAATGAGAACTTCTCCCGCTAATTCGGCTCTAGGTGTAACGACTTTCGCTTGAGACATCTTACGTATTTTTCGCTTGTGTGTAATCGTTCAATCAAAGCCGCAGTATTAGCATCTTCATGAATACTCGTGAATAAATACGACAACGGCATTTCGATATTGGAAGAGTCTACAAAATATAAAACTATAAAGATTAATCACGAGAATTTCTTCAATGTATTACTGACATCAACAAAAGAAATGGCAAAAAATGCTGTTAAGATAAATTATTTGTTTGATTTATTCCTTACATACCTTGATTATTCTTTACATACCTAAATTATCTTGATGTTCAGGCAAGAAAAATCTTTTATCAATATTCAAGTGACATCTCTGAAGCCTGATTCTGACTCTTGCAGGACCTTCAGTCGGATCCAATTCCCAATTTTTCGGATAACTGTCAGAAAAGTGCCACGGCGCCCGTTCATGTGTTAATCGTTTGGCTATATCTCTCCACCTAGCCACTGTCTGAGCCTCTAATGCTCGCATATGTTTAAACTGTTCCATCGAAACCTTGCGCTCACGATTTTGTTCTTCCACAACCGAACGTGTTATATTCATAGCGCTTTCGATTAATTGCTTTGCCAACGCATCGAATCTCTTGCCGATTCTATCACAAAATTATATATTATTCTACGTTAACTTCTCGAAAAAAACATACATTGATCTTACACAGGTATTTACCTTAGAACTGCAGGATAATTATCTAAACAAATTTCCTCATCTAAGACTAAATCTCGACGCAACAAAGCTAATTCGTCGTTCCACACTTCTGAATTAGCTTGCTCTATCCCTTTCGCGAGATTCCATACGCGCAGAGCTTCTCTCAGCTCTACGCACACTCTGGCATCGGCACTGGGCATCTCGTCCAGTTTTTGCAGCAAGTCCCAAAAAAATACGGTAAATTTTTGTTCCATCTAGACATAATAATATTCCAGATGATATAAAATTTCGCGTCCTAATGTGTAAAGTATAAATATTAGTTGTCCTAATTAATTAACACAGATACCTGTGGATGAACCTCCAAAATGCACGATAGAATTTCGCGAGCTCTTGGTTCTTCCATCAGAGATCTGACGGCGTACATTCTCGTACTGGTACTCTGATGCGGCTCCAGCAGCCATATCATAATTTTAGCTGTATATTTTCTCAACGCTGGTCTAATGGAAAATGTATTGCTCCAATTATTTTTCTTTTCTAACGGATTGCACAAACCATGCAAAAGGATGGAAAATAGCCTCTTCGTTAGTTGCAATTCGTTAACAGATGATGACATATCGGCCGCAGTTATAAAGTCAACTGCACGTGTCACGATAATGCGAAAACGATCGTTCAATTCTCCTTTACTGGGTTCGCGTAGTATCGGAGGCGAGCTCGCATGGAAGCTACCATAGCTGGAGGAATGGGATCCATGATCGCTCTGCTCGCTGGACGTCGTAAGAACTGGAAAAATGTTCTTATGTGAATATCGAATGCGAGTGTTTACAACTTTTGTGCACACCATAATATTACCTGAAGTGAAATAAGATGCCGACGCCAAATACGAAGTCGTGCTACGTAGACGGAATCCCGAGGGATTCGACATTTTCGTCACGAGTGCGTCCAACTCTCCGTCAAACAACGCGACTTGTGCGTCTCTCACGATCGTACGAATCGAACTCGCACGGCATCGTAACTTTTCCGATATTTCCATGTAATCAAGTATCACGTGTAGATCTAATATCGCTTGTATTTGATGGCTGCCAGGTAATTCTAGAAGCTTAGTCGCGATTGTCACGAACAGCACGTGGATATCTCGATGAAGAGACATCGAGTTGCCTTTATGCGCGACTCCGACCAAGCCTTGCACCAATGATTCGATTAAGCCTTGCTCTAAGAGTACCTTCAGGGTGTTCGTATTCTGAGAAATGATAACAATTAATTCAATTAATTGTATTTGTCAAATCTGCTATCAAGAAAATGAATTCTATTCCCATACCTTTGCTATTACATCAGTTATAAACAATATCAATGGCTTGACTATACTTGAATCAGATATTGAAGCCTTTGCAATTATTGCCATTAACATTGGCATCGCCGCCAAAGTAGGACTTCGTACAGCTAAGTTCTCTAAAGCAATAATCACTGAATCGCTTGTGGGATATAAAGCTATCTGATTTCCTAGATGCATGAAATACTTTTGTTTTATAAACTTGTTGACTTCCTCATCACTAGCACGTTGTAGATAAGTTTGTATCAGCTGAAAAATGTCATGCAAGATATTGATGAAATATTTCATTCCTTTCATGTATCGATACGGAAATTACATCTATTACACTAAGAAATCATTTACCTTGATCAATGCTGTGCGTACGCGATTATCGGGATCATTGGCTAAAACCAACAACAGTTCAGCTCTTAAAACATGCTTCAGCACCGATCCCACTTGACAGTCTGGTAATACTCTTACAGCATCTCTCAATAACAACAAGAGTCCTTCGCAGACTAAACCTTGACAAGCTCTTCTCTCATCCGCATATGTTGATTGTCTTTCCTAAATAATAATGTGCACACGTATAAATGAATAATATATAAAATTATATCATATTTTTTGCTTTTCTGTTACTTACATTGCTTTGTGGAGTAGATCCATCACTAGCTGCAATTCCAGAGTCCTCTCCAGCACTAGTATTATCAGTTAATGGCATGTTTTTACGATCTTTTCTTTTGGGACTTCGAGTCTTTTGAATCTACAAAAACGAACAATTGAATATAATATTTGTGCATTTTTTTTCAATCAATTGTTAGACACGTCTGAAAAAATTCACACCTGTTCATTCGTTAATGCCTTATTCAATTTACTGTTTTCCATCAAGCTCATCGAATCACTAGAAAAAATAGAACCGTTATCGCTTTTTTTCAAATTCGTTTTTTTCTCCGTAAATTGCGGCAACATAAAATAGATATTTTGTCGCGAGTGAGTGACATAAGTTTCTGAGGCTTGATGAACAAGAACCAAATAATCAGTAATGGCGACCAAATGAGCAAACTCCGGTGGTGCGCCCATCAAAGCACGCATCAATTCTACAATTGCGATTCCAGTATTCGAATCTAATACGGCATTTACCTCTTCGTTTATTTCGTACATAAAGTGTTCCTATAAAAGCAATAGATATTATTATAAAATATATACATGCTCTATTGATGTATAATAACGTATTGAATAGAATATTTGATTTACCTTACACAAGGTAAGGATCGTATTCACGATTCCAACTCTGTTTAATTGAGACGCATTGAATTCACGCTGCGAATGTTGATCTCGCAATAAAAGTAGCAGCGTTTGCAGTAACAAATTTAACGTATCGTATTTCGCCCATGCTCTCCACGCGGTAAACGCGGCCTTGATCAATTCTGGATCCGTGATAACAGCCTCGCAATTCTGAGAAACTGGATAGCTACCATTGCCAAGGTCTCTAATGATGATCGAACTGTCGCACGCCGCATCCAGCATCGCCTTCAGGATGTGTCTACCTGCGTGGCACCGAGATGACTCTAGAACGCGAAGAATCAGTAATGTCCCGCCATCCGATCGGTATTGATTCAAGAGTTCTGAATCACTACGAACAAGATGCAAGACTGTGGAGAGGGCCAGAGCTTGTTCCTCTTCGGTAGAATTTAATTCGACTACCTATGCAAAGCAATCGTGAATGTTTAGATGCGTGGAAATGCAATTGACTAATTTTCTTTCTTTTCAAATTATTATTCGAAATATAAATTCTTAAAAAAATACTTACCCTGGCAAAAAGATATAAAAATACTGGTACACCGCCTACTAAGATCGCTGCAGGTATGAGTCCTCGATATTGTTGATTTTCTAAGTAAGTAGATGCAATCGGAGGTATCGATAAAGGCGGTTGCTGTGACACTCTGTTTTCTGGAGCTGAGATAATTCTAAAGCCTGATTGGCCCGGAAAGATATTTCTCGTAATAACTACAAAAATATATTATTATAAATCAATCTACGATATGATTAATGACATATATCGAATGCCGTGTTATTTACCAGCAGGATTAGTGATGGCTTGAGGATATAGATGTACGATGTTGGGATTTTGAGCCTCGTAACTGAGAAGCAAATTATCTTGCAGCTCGCCAAGATGCGAGTTTGTCGCATCCATAACGACATCCCAGTCAATTTTCGATTCTGATATCACTGTCTCAACAGCGTATTTCAAGTAAGTACCACCGTAAGATTTTCGCCGGCTTGAATCGAATTTACCTCCTTCTACAAAATATAAAAATAAAGATTAAAGTATCAAGTGGAAATAAACATTTATATTTAGTCTAATATTTATATTTTGTATAATAATATTGTGTATTATACTAACCATATTTCACTTCACGAATACCATCGTTTAGTGCACCGAATGCTATAAGGGGCGCAAAATCAGGCTTCACCGTGTTTAAGATACAATCCGCCAAGTTGGTGTAATTTGGTCCGAGACTTGCTAAATACAATGCACGTTCCTTCGTGAATACTGGACATCTAGGAATAATAATCAAATTATATGTATATAGGATTCTATACATTATATGTGAATTACTATTTATTCATCTAAATAATGTACCTAAAAACCATTAAATTTCCGAAATACCATGCGCCAATACTGCTCGACCCGATTTGACCTAATAAAATGCACGTGGTACCCGGTTTTCTCATCAATAAACCGTCAAATGGTAACTGGGCATTGACCTCTTTCCAACCGTCTATCCAAAGCGTAACTTCGACTACAGCACTGCGCTTATTCAAGACAGTATCTTTAAAGTTTATGGTCAAGTGATGCCAATGTCCCGAAGGAAGCATGTCATTTATCGAAGTTTCAGAGATCGTTCGGTTCATCTTGTCGTCCGGACGAGTGAGTCGTAACATTAATTTATCTAAAAATAATTAAATTTAATCAATAGAAATTTCTACTTGATTCGTGAATTTTAAAAGTAATATCTTACCTGATTTTAGATCAAGCCACATTTCTAGAACCAACGATTCAAAGCCAATGGACATCAAATGTATTATCGACGTTGGTGTGGGTGGCGACACAGAACCCGCTATAACTGACAATACCATGAAAAGATCAAATATCAGATTTCTAAATATATCTCCTCGCATATTAATTAGTAATAAATGACAACATGCACACAATTATAGGAATTTATAAACGTATATAACATGTTTTCTATTAACCTTCCCGATTCCAATTGTCAGAAAGAATACCCCAGTCAGATAGACTCTCATTGTCCGAGTCGAATAACGGAGAAGCGGTATAGGCTGTTGTACGACTGCCAGTTGACATTCCTCTTTCTACCCTTAGCCACATGGAAGCGGAACAACCGTGCAACCATACTGGCCAGGCGAGTTCCGGACCAACGGGTAGACACGTCGCATGTACAGACCACGGACTGCAAATTCCTGCTGCGAGATGTTTCTTTCTAAAATTTTTCACGAGATTCTCAGCTTTCTCCTGATTCTTATGTTGCTCCGTCTTCAGCGATGTTGTTACATCAGTATGCACGGGGAACGATAGGATAAAATTCGGTTGAGGTCGTGCCACTAGCACCAAGTGATACAATGGCTCTAGCAAGGGTAACAACGGTGGTTTGTCTGCTTTGAAGAAAGACAGATATGTAACTAGCTCGGCCGAGGAGATTGACTGTGTCGCCAGCAATGTAAAAACTTCCAACGCAGCGTGTTGCAAATCTGAAAAAAATTCATCGTATAATACTTTAATACTTAATGAATAGATATAAGTTTTAGCACGAGTGCTGAAACTTACCTCGATATCGTGGATCATTATTAGTGAGTATATTTTTAAAGCCGTTCAATATTTTCATAATAGTTCCTGAAGCCGCAAGGGCAGCGCAACTTGAGGCACTTTCTCGACACGTGTTGGCAATCCTTCGCAACCCACTGGTTATTATCGAACTTCTCTCTAAATCTAAACCTCTGTAAAAAAAAATTGCATAAAATAAAGTAATAATAATACGTTAACGTATGTATCTCAAAGCTCGGGACCTTACTGTTCGCTGAAGTGAATTAAAAGATCTATCGCCAAGGAACATAAAGCAGGATGCGCATTAGCGTGACCTCTCGGTTCTACTACAAGTCCAAGAGGACTGCTCTTCTTAGTGACGCTGTTGTTGGAACTCTTTTCAGGTACTTCGACATCCGCTTCGTATCCATCGTCAGCGGTCACGTATTCACCGGTACTGCTATCCTCGGCACTGTAGTCCGATGGATTCTCCAACGACAAAGTTGGTAACTGTAATAAAATAAAACATGTATCATCGATATACATACAGAAATATTTAAAGTTTATTGATTTTTAACAATTAATAAGATTTAAAAACGACACGTACTCTAGGACGCGGTTGTTGAGATATACTGTTTTCCTGTGCCGGTTTCAGCATAGAGACTTTCAATATCGCATCCACTATCACAGCTATTCCACGACCGAGCTTCATCCCGGTATTCATCAATATTTTCCTTAATTCCATAACTATGTCACAATCATCTGCAGCATACAGAACACTCTCGTTATATATAAAGTCGATAAAAATAATAAAATAGTTTCTATGCGGCAAGTAATAATTTCAAACAAATGAATAATTTCACGTGTATAATCAAGACAATCGCGATTTCAAGAATGACGTTTACCATCTGCGTTCTCTGAATTGTTTTTCTGCCTAGCAAACGCACGAAACGTCTTTGGATTATAATCCCGCAGCTGCGTGAACGACTGATATACATGTGTTTACCCGCATGTACGTATATTGTATACATATGCTTATTAATCGCATTCATAACATAGACATACACTTACACAACGGAGATATCAGACAACATGTAATCAGGGCCTCGAGGAGCTTATATGCCGATTTACCAGTATCTAAAAGAGCACAATATGTTTATTAATACGTGATCATTCTTTCTAGAATTATCATTCCACAATTATATTGTACGACTGTACCTTCAATACGGTCCGTAGCGAGGCCTATAGTTAACAGCCTGAATAAACGTAGCGATTTCCTGGATACCGGATGAACGGACAACTCGGTGCGAAATTTCGGGCTGCACAAAGCTACACCTGCAGCAGCTCTCCAAGCCACGCTAGCCTGATACAGGCTTAATCTTTCAAACGACACGTTCGGGTCGTCGCACACTTCAACAACTTGTTCTATAAGAGTATAAAGCTTCTCGAATGAATTCGAATTTATTACAATATCAGTCTTATTCTCTAATTGTTCGCGGTGAATATCACTTTCAGGCAGTTGCTGTAGACTTTCAATTGTCATCTCATCAGTTTTTAAATTTTTCACAGGAGACAGATCAACTTTTTGATTGTCAGGACGTGCGTCGGATGTATCTTTGCTCTCGCCTCGCTGATCAGTCTTTTCTTCCATTCTCGGTAAGCAATTTAATAACTCATTCGTCTCTCTATCGAGAGATTCAAAGAGATACCTAGTTGCGACCGGCATCTCGACGCTTTCTAAATTATCGAATTTCTCACCACGCGTCTTCCAAATCTCTATAGTTACGGTGACTTCCAAAAGAGCATAAACGCTTCTAGTAAACGCCGCATTTTCTATCAATGGTAATATCTCGCGCAGTCCGTTTATTGCCATAAATTTCTCATACATCTGCGCGTTTACGATTAAACACGATATAACAGACATACAGGACTGCAAGAGAAACTTTGCCGTTACATTGCTATTATCGATCGTGTAACATTCTTTAGCGCGCAGAAAAGCTGGATAGAAGACTCTGAGGAGAAGCTGTTCCTTAACGTGAAATCGGGAACCGGATGTAACTTGCAGCAGATGCGTCATGACGACGTAACACAGTTTCGGATCACTAGGACATAGTAAATCGACGTACATCTCCAGAAAATCCCACGAATAATTCGCCGGCCTCACGCAGGTACTGCATACATCTGTTACTGGATAAACGCCTAGCTCTTTGAAGAAAATACGCTCAAGAAATGCTACAGCTGGCGCGTAAGTCGAAAAATTGCGTTTCTTCAAGAAGGCGACGACACTCGAAATGAGTACCTTGGGCGGGAAGCAACAACACGTACCCGCGACGGTGGTGATCCTGATCAATCTCACTTGCAGCTCGCTCGCGAACAGATGAGACTTCTTCAGTAGACTCGTGAGCGTCGCGAATAGCGAGGAGATGCAGCATATCTGTTTATCAGCCACACCAACAGTTAATTGGGAATATGGTACTCCGAGCACGTCCAAATGATGATAACTCTGAATGTTATCAATGCAGGATCTGTGCTTGGTTCTGTGGCACTGCGTGGCGTGCGAGAGATAGCGGCGAACATGCTTCATTCCGCTGATCAGCGCGCCTATCATGTCGATTATCTTCTTGGCGCGTACTATGGATTTTGTCGTATCAACGCTGGGTAAATCGACGATCGCGAATATCGTTCTTTCAACGAGTTTACCGTCCTGACTCTCAATGAAAAGTCGGAACAGTTCAAGGAAATCCGATAGCTTATCGACGTTGCTGCCGCGCTGATGCAACAGGCAATAAAGAAAGGTAACAATTCCGTAAATGGTGGCGAAGATAAACTCCTGCAATAGTGAACCTTCCTCCGGTTCCAACACGTTTACCGGTTTGCCGCAAGCATCCTCCAGCAATCTCAGAGTCATCGGCAACAGGCCATTTTGAATCACCGCCGTGGTAGGTTCGTCGGCTCTCAAAGCGCGTTCTAGAGCCGTCAACATCAACCTGGCGGCCGCCGCTTTCAGAGTGACGCATTCCGTCCCGCTCAAATTATTGCCGTCTATGCCAGATTGTAACGACCACAACGTATCCAGAGCAAATTTCAAAACCTGCACAGCTGGTGTCTGTTCGGCGGGTGTATCGTAGTCACGTGAACCTTGTAGCAGTTGTATGATAAGCAAACTAATCTCGAAGTTACTGATCTTGGCATTCAATACATCCTGGATTCTTTCGTCGATATAATCACGCGATGTTTTTCTCACAGGGCGAGGTGGCAACTCGTACAACTCGGCCTGCCATTTCTGCTCCTCATCGCTTCTGACGATCGACGTAAAGTATTCAAAGTCCATCGGATTCTGACGGATCTTCAGAGTAAGAGAACGTGCTGGATCGATGCCGTCCGTCAGTAACTCAGACTCGCTGCTCGTCGCGTTCTCGGGTGTGTTGCGTCGAGATTTTAGAGTCGACGATTTTATTTGCTTGTTATTCACGGACTGACGGCACTTTGCAACATTGGCGACAGATCGTCTACGAGCGGCTTTTCCGCGTGATGACGCATCACCGTTCTCGTGAGAGATACCCTTAGTGGCTTTGCGTTTCGCGTGCAGAACGATGTCTACCGTGTCGACGATATTGTCGTTGCAGTGAAATTTGACGTACTGGTTGCGTGTTGACGATCCAACGCCGATAGATTCGTTACTTTCAGGCTTTTGCGACATGGTGAACGAGTCAGCTTTCGAAATAGTAGCCTCTAAGAACGCGACTGGATAGAGAGCAACCAGCAATGTAACCAACTCGCGACCGCAAGACAAACCGCGTACACCCAATAGATGCAGTACAGCTAGGTAACGCCATCCGCGATCCTGGACCAAGTACTTTTGTAGACTGACCAGCTCGCTGCCATCGTTCCTCTTTCCGCACAGCTCGTGCACATCCGAGAGTAATTCGTGGGCCACGAGGGAAGACACGCCGCCACCACCAAGCGAACTAAAATTGACACAAGGATATCAATTTGATTTTGACATTTGTTTGTATATTTTTTTACAGGATTACTTAATAATGAAGGTATGCGAGCTATCAGATACGAGTTATCAATGAGAGATATGATGATTATGACACACGTGACTATTATTTTGAACAGCTCACGTACATTAAACACAGAAATAACAATTTGCCTTAACGTTTATCAGAAAGTAATTCACAATATAATCCAAACATAAGAAAAGTCAATGACTTTTTATATTACATACGTGCTTATATATAATCAGCTATTAATCAGATATTTAAAGTATTCGAATAATTTTTAATTGGCTTAAGATAACAGAAAAATAGGATGAAGTACTAAATAAAATATCAAAACAAAACTAGCTTTTGTAAAAAAAAATTTCCATCACAACCGCAAGGGTGTAATCGAATATTCATATTGCGGTTGAGATGAAGACGTTAAAGTCATAAAAATAATCGGATATATACTTTCAGAAAAAAATGTCATCCGATAAACTTTATGAGATTTTATATATGTACATAAATTTGTACATAAATGAATGAGGAAATTAATGTAAAATTACGTAGGGAGATATTCACCAGAAAGACAGAACATCTTTTACGTCTTTGCCTTCCTTAATCTGCGCGAGAAATTCTGCTAGAAATATATCAAGCCACGATGATTTCTGAAACACATGGAGATTAACACTGACAACGTGTATTACTGTCAACATTTCAAAAATATTTTTATATGTATCAAAGAGAGCAGATATCATGTTCGTAAAAATTTTAAAAATAATAAAACCTACAACAACACATATATAACTTGTAGAAACAGTTATGTAGAATTCGAAAACACAATTAGTATTGTCGCTAATTATTTGTAATCCGTAAGTACGAATATTCGTTAATATTTTGTGATACTGGTCGTAAGAAACAACAAGCTACATTAAAATATCGTATCATAAAGAGGAAGACGATTGGATACGTAACCATGCGTTTGAGATAAAAAGAAACAGAGATATTTTGCTCTTTACTTGCCAAAGTTGACGAAGATAATTTGCTTGCATGCGATACACTAATCGACATTTGTGAACATGAAATGAAAAACATAAATGATTAAGTCTTGCAAAATGACATACTTGCAACGCACTTGCTTTTTGCTGGTATTTGCTGATGCAATTTATTATAATAAGAGACATTAGATATTATGAAATTTAAGCACTTTAAATTATCAATATTCTTTGTTGAAATAACATTTGTGTAAAAATTCTTTTAATACGTTTTTAATTTGTTTTATAATATATTTTTTTAATATTTAATGATAAATAATCAGTTTTTTTTTCTATTAGACAAAGTATGAAAAATTCACAAAATTAATTTTGAACAATGAAACAATTTCTTATTGTTGATGATAATAACATAAGCGTGTATAATATATTAACTCAACTTCCTCCTACGAAATATAATATTGACAGACAACGTACAAATAACTTGTAAGGCATCCCTTCCTTTCGTGAGCTGTAATACAGCGGTCTACGGAAATAATCCAATTAAAATGGAAAGCAATAGGCTTCAAACTGCAGTCAGTATTGAATTTAAATAGCAATTTATTATATAGCTATGTAAAATTATATCGTGATGTATATAAAAAAAATTCACGTTAGAATAGATTTATTGTAAATAAACAGCCGAATCTTGCGCTACTAAAATGACACCAAAAATTAATAAAGACACGAAGAAAAAGAAAAGTATAAAGAGGAAGAAATGAATCACAATGAAGAGGAATTAATCTCAAAAATCACGCAAATACCTCATAACTTTGGGGTTCAGCATGGATAAAGTGGTCCCACAAAATTTGCAGTTTATTGACCGACACAGCAGACATCCCTAAACCCCTTGAGTCTTCACGCTCCTTCTCGTCCTCCTCTTCCGGGTCTTCGGTCTTCAAACGCGCATCTTCCTCATAAATCGCCACTTCATCAAGACTCAACCATGGGCACAAAGTATCTTCGCGCTGCTTTTGACGCGCATTCTTCGACCAAGTAACCTGATCATCTGAAATCAAGATTTCTTACATCATGCACAGTAAACACAGATACGCATTGATATGTTGATTACTATACGTCATCTCGCAACGTCATTTGAAAATTGAAAACTGGGTCTCAGATAATTAGTTTTTCTTTTAACAAGTCGCACGTTTTCGATCAGCAATCGTCAACAAATATACATTGTGAATACGTGATATGCGAATAAGAAATAATATACGTCGAACACTTTATAAAAACTTGAAAACAAAAGACAGTGTCTTAACATTCTCATAGTCAGGAAAAATACACAATTGCACTAATATTTCAATCTAACTGACCGCATCTATTTTTTTTTATCAGAACATATCGTGATGCAACATTGTAACGCATTCTAGAATTTAATCCTCAGTATCGTATTTATCGAACAACTTACATAACATCCCCACGTATTCCCCGCGATTAATCACTTGCAGCTTTTCGCGGGAAGCTCGAAAGCTTCACGAGGCACAAAGTGACGAAAAGTAGCAGTAATCTTGGCTTCATAGACTCTGGAATAACATCACTGTTGTCGCTACTAGCATTGCCAAGAAACTCACCACCACCATCGCTTATTACCACTACCCATTCTACAGCGACACGAGCCACATGAGAAGTCATCACTACAAACACGACCCAGACACGACCTGGTCTATCACTATCAAAGGGTTCTTATCAGCCAACTTGCTCTCGTACTAACGATGTTGACTCGTTATCATTTCTCAGAACATGTGACAATCTCCTCGTAAATTCGATCAAGCGACGAGTCTGAAAAGTCAAAGCCACTCCTCTCTGATAAATTTTTCTCCTTGATTCAGGTCCGCGCTAAACATCGTATCTCGTTGCTTCAATCGATAAGATTGAACTTATTTGTTTTATGAAATAGAAAGTGATATGAATAATAGAAGAAAAGATAATTCGAGCGCTATATTAAGAACAATAAGTTTCCTTCAAACCGCTATTCAATATTTATTCACGTGTAGAAATTTTGAAAAATAAATCTTAAACATCTTTATTGAAGAGTAATAATCACGATTTTTTTGTGACACAATATTATAGTTCAACACTAAAAACGCGCGACTTTTTCAGGCAAATTGATACTGTTATAAAATAAATGTTGCAGAGTACACTTTAAGAAAAGATAAAGTGAGCATGAATAAATGATTCATAATTATGCCTTCCTTGCAATCTTATTAACTATATACAGAAGATATAAGACTCGAACTTTGGTTCTTTGACAAAATAAGAATTTGTAATTATAGACTAAGCATCAGAAGTTATTATTCATGATTTTGTTATTTATCAGCTTTTTTTAAAAAGTTGGAAGAAAAATTTCTTATTTGTAACTGCTAAAACTATTGTTGAAAAAGAGCTGTTTTTACACTATTTGAATCCTTTATTCAGAAACACTTTATTTGGCTTATATCGCTAATATGTAGATGCAATAATGAAATTTACTTGATGAAAATCAGCGCTAAATTACTCGTCGATGTAGCCCTAACACGATCCGCGCGCGTCGACGAACAAGTGTAAACTCTTCCTGTTTCTCATACAACTCCGTGTCTTCGGCTCGAATCTCCTCAGCTTGGGGTGACGTCGTCGTACTAACTATCTACAACGAGGAAGGGGAAATCCACAGTCGAGCCTCCTCATGTGTCTCCAATCGGTTTTCCTCCACGACGAAAAAGTTGTCAACTGCACAACGTTAGTCCCTCTCCGACCTATCGAGAAATAAGAATGCTATGTAAATATATGATACACAGACGATAACAGACAATTGCTCTCAAAAAGACAGTAATAATACACTTAATCATTTGGGATATAATGGCTCGTTAATCGCGATAAACCTTGATAATGAACAATGTCTCTCATACCGGAAGGTATTGAACAGAAGAATCGATGATAAAAAAAGATAAATTTTTATATCATCGTATTTATCTCGACTAAAGAGCCAAACGCGATGTTACTGCGTCAGATTAGGATAAGAAAATTTGGAAACTAAGGAATTTGAATCCTATGGTTGGGATCTCAGAAATTCCCCTTGTTCCTTCTCCTAACATCCCCTGTAAAGAAATAGACGAGAAAAATATTGGTCCGAAAGTAAATAATTTTTATCATCAATTATTTACTGAATATATTAAATAAAGTTGAAAATAATTAATCTTCACTCAGTTTCTCGTCAATATGATGATTAATCATGATAAATTAAAACATTCCCCCTTCTAGTTTTATTGTATCATCGAAATAGGAGAAGCTGAATTGATTATATAATCCTCTCTTTTTCTCTCTTCCTCTCTCTCTCTCTCTCTCTTCAGTATATTATCTAGCATATAATTTTATGAATACGCTCTTGTGGGGCTTCATTATCGCAAATTATATTTTTCATAGCTATATATAATATTAGCCTTTTTTTAAAGACACAATGCAGGCGGAGATGCAACCCTCTTCCTCTTGCAATGTTCAACAATCTCTGTAAGTGCAAACAATAATGCGATAATCATGGACATGTGTGAACAATCGAGAATAGTTCAGTGGACAACAGCCGGACGTGATTGTCGATCAATCTTTTAACTTTTAACTCATACAGTTGGTCGATTATTATGGTGACTGATTATCTTAATGGAATTGTACGCTCAGTCGTGCTTTAATTAGTCCCTCGTCCCTCGACAGTGCGATAATATAATTATAAAGACGCACACAATTTTTCAATGTCGATCTAAGTGAAATAAAATTATCACGGGGCCGGGTGATAAGTCATTTCTCTGGAAGAAGGAAGATTGTCGCCTCTTGGTGATTTATGAGAATTTAGAGATAATGAAACATATATCAGTTGTTTGGCTTCATTAAACGGAGTATAATTCCTTGGTACGTTTGATCTTCGAATCGGCATCTCGATGTAAAAAAAATAAATAAACAAATCTTACTATCTTCATCGCAGATTTCCAACGTTTTATTACGAATAAAAATGATGTTCGATCAATATTTTCGCAGCATTAAATGCAAAAATAAGCTCTCATACAAATTATACTAATTCTAATACAATTTAGTCGTGTTGACAAGCCTTTTCTCGCATTCTATAATTATTTTATCATTAACGCGAATTTTTTCACGATGAAACGTGCGACACCGATAAACAGCGAATCGCTGACGACGATAACGGCTGACCTTCTCGTTGCTCTCATCACAAAGTTGATAATAATTAAGAGAACACATCTATTACTCGTATTATTTTTCTTTTTTTTTTATGTGCTCGCCACGTCGAGAGACGTATTTTTTTCAACTTACGTCACATTCTCGTCTCGGTCGAATCCTCATTTCTCGAGCTTAACTTTCAAAGATTCGTTCATATCTTTTTCACTTTGTTTTCATTCCTCGATATCGTAAATAAAGCTCAAACGAGTGCCGGTTCCATATTTTAAATACAAGAATGCGAGAAGTGCAGCTAAAATCAACACATATATATCTTACATTTGCTTAATTTTTTTCTACTTAATCTTACTGTTTTTATACTTTCAAAATGTCAATATTGTATATATATGTATAATATATATAATTATATGTACGGCAAATATTGAGAAAAAGTGAAATACCTCAGCTTTGTGATCTTTGCATACAGATGATTGAGAAATTAAAAAATCAGGAAGATCAAGGGATCAAGAGATAACCTATTCAGCTTCTCTCATTCTCTCGTTTCTTTTTCCCGCCACATTCTAAAACATTACATTGTATACATATATCTCAATCAATGTGCGAAAAAACAGAGAGAGAATAATGTATATATAATTAATTAACAAACCTATATATATGCAAAATTCAATCCCAAGTATATTTTTTTTTTCAAGACTACGCTTTCTCTGTATTTTTTCCACGAGACCGACCTGTCAGTCGCCGATTACGTGACGTACCTCTACCTCGTGCGGTGTAACATTACTCACGTCAAATCACAGCTGATTGTCAGTGACGTTACAATAACACCGACTCCATCCCTCCATATCGCTCTTCCAAAAAATAACGGCCCCTTGTGCAAAATTCAAAAGTCTTCATCCTTCGAGGTGCTGTTCAAAAATCTTACCCCCTGAAGCAAAACAATTTTCAATCGACCAATCAGGACGAAGGGACGGAAGATTCCTTCGTCCTGATTGATCGATCCGAAGCTACTCTCGACGAGTAAAATTTCCGAGCGCACTTCAACGTCGCGTTCATTTGATCGAGGATTTAAACGGGGTTGGAATTACGCGCTAGCTTGCGGTTATCAGTTGGAGCAAGTATTTTTCCAGAGGACGGAGTAAAACGATGAATACGTAGCGCCGCGAATTTTCTAATCGTCACTTTATGTCGGGTAACTCGAGTAACTCGAAGAGAAACGTCACGTCAAGGGCCGGTTTAACCTAACCTCGGAATAAGCGCCGCGTCTCGCGGGTATATGTCAGTGTCGTGAACAAGGATCGTCCCGTCGATGACGCAGCATGACCGTCTGGGAGAGGCTGCGTAATCCGTGCGGCTGGCGCGCGGGCGCGAAACAGATCTCCGTGGACGCGATGCTGCCGCTGCTGGTAGTGCCGACCCTGGCGGTGATCGCCGCCCAGACCGTCCTCTGCACGACCCTCGTGTTCCTGGCCACGCCGGTCCTCGTTTACTACCTGCACCACAACTTCCTCAGGTTCCTGCTGCGCACCAAGTTCTTCCTCATGTGGACGATCACCAGCGTGCTGATGCTGATGCTGGTGTTCGAGATGAGCGTCGTGCCGCTCCTGGAGATCCTCCCCGAGGAGAATCTCCTGTTTATGGTCTGCGTGGTCGGTGGCATATGGTGCGGCTACAAGGCCAAGCTGAACGCGGATCACGCGGCCCAGGAAGGCGCCGTCAACGTGCAGGGTCTGGAATTGGGTGAGGGCAGCGGAGAACTCTGCGTCACTTGCAGGAGAAGAGCACCGCCCAAAGCTTATCACTGCCGCTTGTGCCAGATCTGTATACTTAATAGGGAATATCATTGTAAATGGTACGTAGCATCTCTTGAACTTTGTTTGGAATTGTGTAACCGATCCCTTAGAATCTTTTGTCATTGGCTGTTTCTTCGTGTTTTTCCAGGTTGGACTGCTGTATAGGCTCTAACAATCTCAGATGGTACTTAGGTTGTTTATTCTTTTCTGCCATCGCTTTCATCTACGGTTCCAATTTGACTATGACCAGTGTCTGTCATCCGTTTATACTCATTGGAACCATTCTGCTACCAGATGACTGCAGCGATGTGTATCATCAGTTAGAGTATGTATTACTTTACTAACTGTATGCTTTAATATACATTTATAATGTTAAAACACGCCTCTCTTGCAATTATTCCATGATAAAATGAAAAGTAAACATTTATATTACAAATACAAGAATTGTGATTAGATATAACTGATACAGAGACTTTTGGCGAAGTAAACTGGAAAGATACAGGAGCTCTATAAAGTTTAATAATCTTAAGATAATGATAATTGTCGAGTCTGCAAGAATCAGTACCATAAATACAGCAGTATCTCTTATTTGCTTTTCGATACATAAAAATTTGACAGATAACTTGTCGCACAACTGTTCGCTTATGCTATCCGAGTCGGCCAATATGTAATAATGTGCATATTGTTTTAGCATCGCCCTTTGCTTCGTCTCCGCTCTCTACAGCCTCCTCGTCGGCCTAGTGCTTTTTTGTTATCTCGTATACCACCTATGGCTGCTTTCCCTTGGCACAACGTCGAATGAACGACGATTAGATGCCGGAAGTCAGTACGATCATGGAATGTTAAAGAATGTATCTCGATTATTTTGCTGCAAAACTTAGAAGTATTTGTAAAAGCATCACGTCACTGGAATGTATTTTGCACAGTGTATGTATTATACTCTGTATGAAGAATATAATTCAACAAACTAAAGAAAGGTAAGGCCAAAAAATTTCTCACGGCGCTAAGTCATACGTCAATATTGATACATTCATGTAAAATAGAGGATAGGAATATATTCATATCGGTTTAATCGCACATTTCATCTATTTAATATATTCTAATATTTATATGTTCGCGACAATTCATAACTAATGAGAAGTGCAATATGTACGTTCCTGTTAACATTGTACATGTAAGATCATGTTTGACATATCACGAAGCACCAATTCTCATGAGACATCATTATTCTTAATGTATCATTGTGCATACCATTTGTATATTTATTGTAACTGTGATAAAGTGGCCATTGTATAAGTAATGTAATGAATTATACATATACTAATCGATTACGATGGATACTGAACTAAGTCCAAAGTAAAAAAAAGGATCTAAATACAAATGTAGAGTATAACAATTTACATTTTATTCTGTATAAAAAAATGCTTTATCTTAGGTGTAGTTAGAAGAATAAGGCTTACTCTCTATACCTCATTCTGATACGAGGCCAACGATTGTCGTACAGTATTAAGTCTATGTTATCTTTAAATTCGTTACTTTAGTCTTCTAATATGACGCCTCTTTGTCTAGGATCGAAGTCCGGAATTACTTCTTGCACTATTTCCCGCCACGTATTTTTTATTCGTTCACTTTCCAAAATATCTGGCACTATCCTTGGATATCTTTTCCACATGTTGAAGTATCTTGCTTTCAATCTTTCCTCATAATGTTCCAATGCTAAACGTTCAGTTTTCAATCGCTCTGCCTTATATTCCATAGTTCTTATCTTCCACAGTTTGAAGCATTTATTTTGTAATCTCATGTCGGAAAAGTCCTTAGCCACTTGCTCTTTTCGTCTCTCCTCTCTCGCCATTTCCTTCCAATCTTGCAACGCGTACCACAATAAATTTCTGTTGTACAATGATACAGCTAATTCAATTTTAATTTGACTTTGCCGTTCTGTTTCCATCTTCCATCTCACGAATGCTTTTTTCAGTAAACATCGTTTGTAGTGGTCCTCAGCTTTATTTATGTAATTATTCTTGATTTCAACGAGTGCGATGAACGGTTCCATTATGTATCGTCGTAGCAAATGCTTGCGATAAAATTCTTCCACCATGGCATTCAGTCTCTTGCATCTTTCCATTTCGCACATTCGTTGCTGCTCCCGTTCCTCGCGAATTCTCTTGGCTTCGCGCAAGGCCTGAGGACAACAAAATCTTAAATTAAATGCGGGTATATTTCTAAAATGTATAAGCGAAAACGAAGTACTTTGTAAAATATACAAAATATTATATATCAATATATAAAGTAGCATATTATATAATATATAGCATTTAGAAAAGCGCGTGTCCCTCGCGTACAGGGATATAATTTTGTCTGCGAGGTAAAAACTGTGCGAGAGCTAAATAAGTGTATACGATATACCTAGTACGATATTAATATACTTTGACCTCTCATATTATCTGACCTCTTGTTGCGATCTTCTCCTCTCTTGCTCCTCTTCTCTTCTGGCGGCTTCTACTTTCCTCTTCTCGTCCTCCAGTTTCTTCAGCCGTGCTTCTTCACGCAATTTTATTCTGTTTCTCCTCGCTTCCGCTCGCGCTTCCATCCTCGCTAGAAATCTAGGTGGACTTGGTACCCGTACAGGCGCCGTTAAAGACTTGTCCCTGTTTTAATAAAAAAAAATGTAAATGTCGAAGTGTATGGTTGTTTAATTTGCGTGTATCGCAGTAAATTTAGCTTACTGTGATATAAATAATTGAACTCGAACGTATTTTTTAAAAATATCTTTAAGATTCCACTTTACAAGCCATTGAAAATTTGTAATCAATCATGGATTCACTTCAATATTGCTTGCAATAATAGCTTATAGAGAGGAAGTATCAGTATCTTTATACTTCAACATAAGGAAACATTGTACATCTTACATATAAAATGTTAATTTAAAGAGATGCAATTTATAAGAATCAGGAATTTATGATTAATTGTGTGATTATATTTTTTGAGATAAAGAATTTCTAGACATATCTTAAATTGTGTGAAATTTACAATTACAGGACTACCTGTAGCCTGCTTGTCTCATCAGTTGTATCAGAGTTCTCCTAGTCTGCTGACCGCAATGCGTCAAGGTCTCCTTGGCTGCGTTCACCGTCTCTTCGCCGGCTCTGGTTATCTCCTCTTGCACTTGCTTCAACTTCAGTTCCTCGATGATCTTGCTCTGCTCGGCCAATTTCATTCTCTGCTTGTGGATGATCTCTTTCTGAGCGTTTAGTCGACTTTGCGCTGGCGACTCGATGACGAATGGCCTGGCAGGAGTCTTCTTCCTCATCTCGGAGTCCCTCGCATTCGGAAGAAATCTTTTGGACTCTGCTCTCTGGTACTTGGTCAATTCCTTTTGCGTTTCCGTGATGGTGTCGATAAGGACCTCGATTTTACGAACGTCGGAATTTTCCGCCTCGCGTTCTCGCCGAGTCTTCACCTTCTCAACGTGCGCCCTCCATACACGGATGCATGATTTTAAGTTTCTTCGAGATGTGATACTCTGAATATTCATCTTGATCTCACGAAGACGTTGCTTGTTCCGTGCGTTCTCACGAAGAGCCTCGAAGCATGATCTCAGAACGTTTAATCGATGCTCCTCCGATTCGTAGCTTGGTTTATCCTTGATAGTGACCCTGATGTTGCCGAAAGATTTCCCCTCGATCTTATTTATCGAAGATTGCTTGGATTTTTTCGATTCAACAGAAGAAACTTCCACGAATGCTTGTTTGATTTTCTTTTGAACGATGCTCTTTCGCTCCGCTGTTTTGCTTCTTTTTTCATTAATAAAGGCTCTCTATAAATTTTTTTATATCGAATGATTAAACATATTTAAAATAAAATTAGAACAAATTAAATTATAATTCGTCTGTTAATTTATCGATGAGAAAGCTTTTTACCTTAACTCTACTAGGTGTTCTCCAAAAGTTTTCGTCATTCGAACTAACTAGATTTTTTCTGCTGCATGGTCCATAAAATTTTGGACGAGACTTTTGCAAGTCTTCCTCAAATTTGCGTAATTCCTTTTCCATGAAAGCCTGTTCTTTCTTTAATTGCAATTCCCTCATTTCATCTTTGGTTAATAATCTGCAACGAGCACATTCATTAATATTCATTTGATTTATTTTAGGCAATTTTATAATTATTATAACGATATCAATAAATTAGGCGATTAATACTTACATAATTTTATTTATCTATTTAATAATAAAATTAAATAAGAAATAAACTCATTAGAAAAACAATTAGAAAATATATTTATAAATTACAATATATTAATTGGGGGACATACTTTCGAGCTTCTGCTAATATAAAGGATTTTGTTTGAAAACTGTTGAAATTTTCACGAAATATTCGATGCCTCGCGTCCATAATTAAATTTGGATCTGGAAAAGCTTTCTTCTCATCCTCCAGCATTCGACGTTTCTCAGATGGTTTGAAAATCGTCATCTTCATCATCTCGTCCATTATTTTATTTACTTCGTCAAATTGCACCATGTTCGTCAAATGGTCTTCAACGACTATTAATATAATATTTTATATTAATATTTATATTGTATCGTGCGTATCTACATCGATCAATTCATATCGTGAACTGTGCTAGCGTCTTGTTTATGCGTGTCTGTTTCTGTTGTTAAGGTAAGTTTCACTTCCCCAACCCCAAGTCAATGTCCCAATCCCATTCATGATGAGTTGACGATAGTGAAAACAAGGGTAGAAGTAGAAGAGTTGGGGAAGAATAAAACGCTATCGCGAATATTAGTCTGCATGATATATTATTATATTTTCGTCGAATAATTTAAATTGTTTTTTGTTATAAATAATATATTCAAATGTGTTATATATGTAATAGAATGTTGTAATTTTGTGTTTTAACTTCTTAATAAAAAAAAGTACATGAACAAGTCAATATAAATTATATTAACTTTTTAGTTATTCAACAATTTGTAATTGCAATACATTATGTGTTTTTTTTATGTTTTCTATTTTATACAAATTGGAAATAATTTATTCTATATTTTGTGTGTCTATACATATGTATATTTTCATTTATTAATTAATATTAGTAATAAAATAACATACATTATAATAAAATAACGATAGAATTTAGAAAAATGTCGTAATTCGAGTTTCAAAATTTCCCGCTATTTGAACGATAGTCAATTGCGATTCGAGATTGACATCATCGATTGTTGACGGGCCAGTGCTGCTGCAGCAGCAGGTGCATCGCGGAGTAGTGAGGTGCATCGACTTCGAAACCTGTATATTGAGGCTGATAAGAGGTCTTCTCGTTTTAAATCAACGAGGATTCGTTCGAACACCTGTTTCTGTTTCTCGCGCGATGATCTTGTCCCTCCCTCGCGTCAATGTCAAAACCTCGAGAATTACGTGTGATAATTAAGGCAATTTGTTGTCCTAGTTTGTCAATCTCTCTCATACAATTGTGTCGAATGTCACTCTGATCTAGGCACGGGTGACAAAATATCAGACTTCTCTGGTGCGATACAAGGCGTAAAATGGATCCAAGGGGCCCTCCTGAGGGGGCCCCTACCGAGTCTTTCGAGATATCCAGCATCGACAAAGGGGCTGACACCTCGGTGAATTGGCCTATTGATCACGTTTTTGCTTCATCCTTGTGCGAGCAACCGAAAAAACTCAACAACAGGCTTTTATTTTTGACAGTGAGTAATTTTTAATAATGAGTGACAGTGTCAACATGATACTGGTCCTAAATCATTGTTCTGTTACCAGGTAGAATATGTGGAGGATCAATCCCGCCTATTTCCCACATACGAGCAGATTTCCCTCTCTCCAAGGGCAGCTTCACCTCTGTCTGAGTTTGAACATCGAGTCAGTCCGCTTGATCCAAACATGAGTTCTACCGCTAGGTACTCTCCTACACCAGTTCAGCTACCTTCCTCTCCTTTCCATAACTCTGTTGTTGTGCTTCAAGGTCCTTCCTCTCCCTTAATATCCCAGCCTGAGCCAAATATACGAGCAAGTATTAATTACGTAACTCAACTGACCCATCCGATCGATGCTCAAGTTGTACCACAAACAGACGCTACTGCAGACTTTGTTGGCAATGGGAATGAAGAGGGACTGGTGTCGAGTGTTAGCAGTGAATTGATTTTAATGCAAGGTAATAAATAATTTATTTATAAAATAAAATAGCCGTTGGATTCTTTCATAGCTATTTGTCATTATTGTATAACTTACTTTCAGAAACTACACCTGAATTGGAATCTTCAGCAACTCCCTTAATGCTGACAGGAATACCGGGTACAGACTTCACTCTGACTAGAGATTTCTTGGTCATGCAGGATGATCAAATAAATGTTATCAACACATTTAAAAATCAAAATATGGAGATAGAAAGCAGTCATGTTGCTTTACCATCTGTAATAGAAGATGCAAACAAAGAAAATAACAATCTTATACCAGAATGTGATAAAGAAATTCAACAAATTACTAAGAATATATCTCCCAATATATCACCCAACGAAAAGAAAAAACCAATTGAGAAGAAAGATGTAAGGAGATCAAAACGGCATATAACAGATAAAAAGAATTTATGTAAGTATCACACAAATTATTTAAAATTATTCTGAATATACATGTATTAATAGATACTTTATTTTTTTATTTATAATTTTTATTTATATCCATTTTTTCAGGGTGCGACGAATTTGACAATAATTGCACCAAAGATGACAGTTGTAATTTAAATGATGTATGCACAATCGCAGATCAACCTGTACCATCGCGTGCTGTAGCAACACTGCCAGGATCATATCTTTCGTTAAACAAGTTATCTACTTCACAAACTACAGTGGATGGTAGCGTAACCTATGGAGTCTTTGCAAAACGTTATATTCGAAGGCGCACGCAATTTGGACCTATAGAAGGTCTATTGTGCGTTTACGATGGCTCGCCGTTCAACGATGCTTTACCACTACTCTATGAAAGTGAAAGTGGTGATATATTTCAAGTAGATGTTTCGAACGAAAGTAAGTAATGATCTATAGCATTTGTTGATAAGATATTAAATTTTTATATTTTTTTTTTTTTTAGATACTTCAAACTGGATGCGTTTTGTGCGGCCTGCCCTAACATACAAGGAGCAAAATTTAATTATTTGCCAGCAAAAGGATGGAATAGTATTTCTGACTAATAGAAACATTTCGCCAAAGGAGGAATTAAAGGCAGGCCCTAGTACAGATTATGCTACTCGCAGAAATTTACCAATACTTAAACCAGATGATAAAGGTATACAAAGTAGTGAATTTAGGAATATTAGATCATATTCTGTAATATTAACCAATACCATTTTTTTTATTACAGAAATTTCTAATCAAGTTTCCATATGGCCACGTTTGGATGGCAATTCTTACAACAATCGACGTGTAAAAATGTTTCGTGGCAGAAACTTGAAAGAAAAAGAAAACTCGCGGCAGAACAACAAATGCAACAAGGAATGGAAATGTTCTATGTGTAATCTGATTTTCAGGAAACCGTCTCTGCTTAATTTACACACAATTGTTCATTCTTCCACCGACATCAAAATTGAAAATCAAACGTCAGTGTGCCCACAATGTGGACTGAAATTCCAAAAGCAAAGTGAGTTGGTGAATCACGTATCTCAACATGGGCGATCGGCACTACCTAAAGCAAAGAGATTAACTCCTCTAAGTACATACAAGTGTTCAATGTGTTATAAACGTTTTGCTACAAAGATACGATTACAACAGCACTGCTTGGCGCATGGTGCTGAGGACCAAAAACCACTGCCATGCAGCATCTGCTTGAAACGATTTATGAATAACTCTGCATTATCTGGTCATCTGAAAACGCATAAAGGTAATAAATTATTTGATATTTAAATAAGTCAATTAATACAAGTTTTTATTTTATAACGATACAAATTTGCAGAAAATAAGCAGGTCTTTGAGTGTCCAATGTGTAGGCAGTTATTTCGCCAAGGTACAATGCTGAAGGATCATGTTGAGACACATAGAAATCAAGATGGTATATTCAGCTGCCCCCACTGCCAGCGAACATTCATCAAGTATTCAGTTATTCGCAAACACATTCGAGCACATCATTGTGAAAGAAAGCACAAATGTCAACATTGTGCAAAACGTTTCCCAACAGTCGACAAACTGCGAATGCATTTATTGAAACATTCCGATCACAGGTACAATTTCTACAATTCTTTTTAAAACATTAATTATATTAACAGGATTAATAAAAATCTGATTAATTTGCACAGAGAATTTCATTGTGCCAACTGTGGTAAGCAATTCAAAAGAAAAGACAAATTAAAGGAGCACATGACTAAAATACATCACTCTCAAACAGTTAATGGAGAACAAATGACACAGAACAATCAAGCGAAGAAATTTGTGCCAAAGGTATTTATCGAAGTAAAAATGCGATAATGTTTGTATATTTTGCTTCATTATATTTATATGTTGTACAATGTTTTGTTTGATTGCTAGGTAAATCCAAACGACTACAATCGCTTCATTTACAAATGTCATCTATGTTTGGTGGGTTTCAAGCGAAGGGGAATGCTGGTGAATCATCTAGCAAAACGACATCCCGACGTTGCACCGGAATCCGTACCAGAATTGAACCTACCTATTTTGCGGCAAACTAGAGACTATTACTGCCAGTATTGTGACAAGGTAAGTCGTGCAATAAATTCGTATTTTTTCGTGTGTAAAAATAAAATTATCGTATTTTTCATATATCTTTTATATATCGTGTATTTTTCTGTTAAGGTTTATAAAAGTAGCAGTAAGCGTAAGGCGCATATTATGAAGAACCATCCGGGTGCGGCCTTACCACCTAGTAACCGACAAAAGGAATCAGAATTCTCAGGACTGCCAAATCCGAGCTTCAGCCAAACAGTAGGCAGTATCACGACTAGTCCTCAAGGTTGCCAGTGGTGTCATAAACAGTATGCCAGCAAGGTAAGTTTCTTTTATATAAGATTTAATTGTATATTTGTTAATTGATAAAATTGAGAACAAATTAAAATATATAAATTATAATGCTAGGCTAAACTCTTACAACATCAACGCAAGAAGCATGCTCATTTAATGGAGCCGGCGGATCAAATACCACGATCGCGGAACCGGCCACCTCAAAATCAAAATCAACCACCCGCGTTGAACGATAATAACTTTGTGATATCCGATTACATCCAAGGATGCGATGTAAACGAGGATTTTCTCAAACAAAAGATAATCAAAATCACGAACGACGTTGATCTGATAGGCAACGGTGGTCTGGAGATAGTTGGCCAACAGTTTGTGCGTATGCGCGACATACGTTGAGGAGAAGCACGGCATCCTCGATACGGAGGATGAGCATCGCCAATTTATCGAGATATGAATCTCGCGATCTTTGTATGCAGCCGAGGCAGGCTGTTTTTTTGCCGCTGTCCCCAAATCGGGATCGATGTTGCCCGATGATAAAGCGGCGTGGCATGTCGCCCAAAAATATTTTGGGCTTTGTCGGCGTCGGTGCGAAACACTCGACGCTGTTTTGTTGGTTGTATGTTGGTCGGTTGACGTTAACGACTGTAACCGATGATAAATAGCAGATTTGTTGGAAAGAGCACGCAGTTTTAAGAATACCGAGCCTCTCGGGAAAAAAACTGCTTAAAACGTCTGAAAACCAGTGAGGCTCGAGTGTACTTGCAACGGAAAACATTGTAGTCTCACAAAATTGTTGAGATTTCTTCTTGAAATATTAAGAATACCATAAAGAAAAAAGAGAAAAAAGGTAGAACAAGTCCTGGTACTATCGACACATCCTTTACGCTAGGCCTGGTAGTTTTACTTTTAAAATCTTATACCAAGCTTATAAAATCCGATGTCATTCGAGTGTGAATTAGATGGACCAAATTTAAGCGTCAAGTTTAAGAAAACGATGTTTAAGCCCGGCTTAAATTTGGCAGCGGATGAGATCACTCAAGATCTTAGATCAGTGTGATTTCTTCCGTACGATGGTAATTGTGCGAGTTAATATTAAACAAAAATCATTGTTCGCGACGTATTTGGCTTCATTAACGGCGAGCGATTGTCTTTAGATTACGTGAAAGCTTGCAAATCTTTGCAAGAAATCGTCCATTTCACTTTTACTCTTTCTCTTTCTCTCTCTCGTAATTCCAAGATCGTCGTAAACGCTTACGTCCACGTTCTCATTTTAGAATAATGTACAAGTAAAACACGCGCCTTTAGATCTCTTCACCAGAACCATAATATTTTCACGTAATCATCTCGTAATCGCCAATCTCATCCACATATGAATCTAGCATCTCACAGCTGAGAGCCTGTTTGAGAATGACGAACCGGCTCGAAATGTCTGGTTTAAATCAACGCACGGTACTGTAGTTACGTAGCCAAAGAAAACCTTCGTCCTCGTGATTTTACGAGCAACAGAAGTAACGTACGTGTATTTTAAGCTGTGTATACCTGGCCACGCGTTACGCACACGTAAGCACACCACAGGAATTTCCAAACGATTGTTCCAGATTGTGTATTCCGCAACGTCTGAGTTCGGATAATTGTGTCTTTCTCATTAACCCTGTGGTAAACCTATCTGATGATTGATGTATGTCGTAAGTAAATAAAAGCCGCACGAACAATTTTCACACTCGGAAAAATTTATCGATGAGAAACGACGACATTGAATTTATTTTACACACGATATATACACACGACATACATTATCGCAATTACAAAGAGACAGAAGATTGCATGTTTGTCGATGTTGTTGAGTACATGGAGGACTGTACTGTAAACATGACTTAAATAAAGTTATTCGATGAACGATACAAATGCATCATTTATTACGTTAAACATCTATGAGCTCTGCGACACCGTAAAACAGATTGGATATAAAGAAATTATTAGAAAAAAAAAACAATTCAGAATATATCAAAAGAATACTAAAATTAATTTATATCTTACAAATTTTTAAGCATTAGCAGATACTTGATATCAACAAATTTCTTACAGAAACTCTTTTTTAATTAATACTTTAATACTGATGTGCTTTATATAAAGTTACCAGTTAAATTTTATTATAATCGACACACTATTGTGTGTGTATGCGCTCTGGGAATTATCAATTGCCCAACACATTGTGAAAAATATATTTGATACAGGTATGCGCTATGTATATATATATATATATATATATAGCGCATACCTGTATCAAATATATATATATATATATATATACACATATATATGTCTATGCAGGATATCTTATATAGCTAGAATATAGACTGATATTATATTATTTGTCAAAACATAAACTTCTTTTTCTTTGAAAAGACATCGTTTTCGAGATATTTTTCAAATTCTTCCAGTGTTTCATTATAAAAATATAAATATTAAATTTAATTACAATAGAATTATAAAAATTTTTACACGTGGAATTATTTACATAAAAAATGAAGAAACAAATTTACTGAAGAAACAAATTTACTGTATATTGTCATTAAAATCTTGAAAACGATGCATTTCTAGAAAATCAAAGGAAAAAATTATATATATATATATATATATATATATATGTACGATATAATATCAGTCTATATTTATTTAAAAAGAATACCTTGTATATGTATATATATATATTATATTTTTTATAGTGACACTAAATTTTTGCCATGACTACTCCTATCTATTTATCGTGCTTTTGCTTTCAAATTTTTCGCTGGCGATTGCGAGTGGCCCCACAGCACCAGGCTTCAACATCTGATGATTCGGCGTAGCAGCGAGCGATCCGCCGCCTCTCTGCTTTTGCGCGGCGTCATAAAGCTGTTTCTGCATAACAGCTAGAGAGACTTTATTGGCGGACAGGAAGTCTTTCATGGAGATCAATTCGCCAGACATCCTGCGAGGCGTCTCCGAGTTATCCTCTGCCCTGACCGAGTCCCTACTGACGAATCTAGTCGACCTCCTCTTCGAGTAGTATACGCTCGATATCGAGGACTGTCGTCTCGGCAGAAATGGTGCCGCCACATCCCGATTACCATATTGCAGCTTGTGTATCACATAATTCAGGCTCTGCTTGATCACGATCGACGTGACGTTCAACAGGGAATATATGCAGCAACATCCCACCACTAGGAAGATAAAATTCGCGAATCTGTACCTGCATGTAAACAAAAGAAATAGAAAATCTTAAACATTTTGCAAAATGTTAAAATGTGGATAAATTCATGCAAATTCGATCTTTTGCGACGTACCAATGTACGTGAGGATAGCTCGGCTTTTGCGTGCTAACAAAGTCGCCCAACCCGATAGTGGTGAAGCTGATGAAAGCAAAATACAATGCGTCAAAGTAATCCCAATCTTCCAAGGATGCGTAAAGCGCGGCCGCGCAACAGGCGATGATGCAGGAAACCGCGAACAAATAGAGCATGACCCCGTAAACGCTCGGTTTCCATTGGTCTAGATCCACGTGGTCGTCGTCGTCGAGAATATCAGGTAAAGATGATCTTTTTGGAGTGTTCGCTGATTTAGAAACTCGTCGAGACGCTAATGTTGTCTTGCGAAGACGTCTCCTCAATCGACGTATGTGCCAGCTGCGCAAAATCCACGCCAGAAAAGTGATGATTCTTTCCAGGAAGAGATTGAAGAACAGGAGACCACCTAAATTGTATTCATATTTTAATTAATTAGCTTTCAGATGTTCAATATATGCATCTATATATAAAGACTAGATTAGTTTTTTAATGATTATAATTTGTTGTGATTTTTTTTATATTTGACGTTAAATATCTTTGCATAATATATATTACCGGAACAACCGAAGAAGCCATAAAGAACGACTGCCGCTTTCCCGGCCGTTGTCTGAGGCGCGGTGCTTCCGTACCCTGAAAAATTACACTTCAGTATCATGCTTCTTTCATTTTAGAAACGGTATTATATAGCGATGTGTGTGCATATATGTACATAGAGATCGGAACGAACCGAGGGGCAACTAGCCTGTGGGGACAAGTGCGAGACTAGGTCGCGAGATATTAACATTCCGGAATTCACCAGAGTACATTCTCATGCATACGGCCGGCCGACGACCTTTATCCCTTTATTTAACGTCATTACTAAGAGTTTTACTGAAGAATGCGATCATCTCGACAATTTTTCTTTATCCTATATAAATACTTATACATATATATACATATACATACATCGCAGAATCATCTTTGCACTCCAAGAATTTAAATTTGCTTTAATTAAAAGATATAATACAATTTAAAATACCGTATTTTTATATATTACATGTTATAAATAATGTGTGAAAATATTGTGCGCGTTGATAACAATAATTTTTAATATAAAAAACTTTACTTTTACAGATGTTAAGATCTATAAGGTGAAGTTAAATCGTTGAAGTATAGATCGTTTTTATTAAAAACGATCTTTTCACGCGATTTCTCGAACGCGACACGAATCCTACTGACCCCGATATCCCGGTCGCAACGTGGATGCGGATGATTAACAACTAGTATTCCAAACACGGTATATTGTGTGTTACACATTTCTTACCGATCGTAGAAACTATGGTGCCTACGAAGTGAAAGCTGCCAGGAAAATCCCAGCGACGTCTCTTATTAATGATGCCGGTGGCCGAAGCGTTACCGTAGGCGTACAGCAGCTCGTGCAGCCTCTGCAGGGCCAAGGGGCTACCTCGTAGATGATGTCTTCGAAATACGTGATAGACCCGCCAAAATTCCGCGGCCTATATCCCCGAAAAATATGACAAAATTAAAATATAATCGGACGATATTGTCGTGCAAATAAAAAGTATATATATCTCTGCACATTGATTAAGTGTTACAAAAATACTCGCACATTTCATTGATTCGCGTCTGGTCTGAATTAATATTAAATGAAACCTATGTTTTGTCACTTTAAATCGCTGATCTATATAGCACACCTGACATGCAAAAAGAAGAAAAAAGAGCTCGCGCGTTAACATCTTTTTTTCATCTCAAAAATAAAGGATGCAAATTTTCTTTCAATCTGTAATCGTTCCTCATAAATATAGGAATTATTGCAAGCAAATAGGAATAATAATTTGTTTTTCTTTATGAGGATACGAGATGACGATTTTGTACCTGCCGTATCTCAAGATCACTCTCCAGCCTTTGGAAGAGAGCCGCGCCTGCGAGCATGTATGCTGCCAGGACAACGGCGAGGAGGATGATCCTGGCGTTGTCCTCCGCGAGGCCTCCGCACAAGCACATCACCGGCGACTCTCATCTTTCCGACAGCCACCGGCTGCTGCACGCGATCCCCTCTTCTTCATCCCAAGTCGGCGGCGCAAGCTCGGCGGCCGAGAAGAATTCACGAATAAATACAAGGATGTGTATGAGAGGAGCGCAATCTGAGAGTGAACATCTATAAAAAGTACGTACATGGATAATGCATTTGAAGAAAATTGAAAAAAATCGATATTGTAAGATAATTCCATGTTTTTCCTCCTGTTAAATCTAAAATATTCAATCTTGAAATGTATAACAATTACCTCTTCGATGAATTACGTAAGATTTTTTTTTAATTTCCGAGTGGTTTTAAATTTACGCGATACCAAGTAAGCAGTGAAGCGATAAAATTGATCGGAGCTAGATTGGAGAATATCCTAATTGCCCTGCATTGACGCGGCGGTCTGGAGCGACGTAGCAGAAAGCCGGGATATATGTGGGGCAATCTCCACCTCCGGTACCATTGAGAGCGCAAATCCTTTGACGAGATAAAAATAGAAATGTACAAACACTCGCTCTTACGTGTTCAACTTGCGTGAACTCTGTCAAATGGATGCCTTTTCGTAAAAAGCGTCTTTAAGCAAACGCGACAGATAATTAGCCGGCGAATGCGAAAAAGACGGATGCTGAATTGACCTTACACTTTATCGATATCTTCGATCCTGTCGATTTAAAAGTCACACATAAATTAGATATTTCAAAGGTGTTGTAAATTTAATCTCGAATTTTGCTCTCTGTTTAAATAATAATAAAACAAATATATATCCAAAGTGCATATCTCTTTGCGATGTTTATAAAAGAATTTATATTGATTTTGTGCAAAAAAAGAAATGTTTTTATGACAGATTTTCGATAAAAAAGGAGAAGAAAAAAGATAAGAGGAGAGATAATGGAGAGAGTGAATCGTAAACGTTGTATAATAAAAATACTTTGTTAACAGTCAATCTCTGGACAAGCAAACAATACTATGTTTGTATAAATATAATAGATATTATCAATATTCTCATACTGATATAATTGTATACACATATAAAATCTAGATATATAAAAATCTATACATACATAAAATATTTATAAAATATCTTTTACTCACTATAATACTAATGTTACGTCTCGGACTGTGTTAGATCTTATCGCTTTGTATTAGTAATATTCGAAAGTTGACAAATAGGCATCTTCTCGGCAAGATTATTAGTGCCTCGTTTGTGGACCTTCCTCCAATTTCCGCCAGACAACCTGAAGAGCAAAAGCGATTAATCAATATATATATCGCAATACATCGAATAAGCACATTTTGAAACATTTTTTCAGGCAAAATTCTAAGATATAAATTGTACAAAATAATTATATATCAATAGTCAAAGAAAAGAGAGATTTCTATTTTAATTCTTCATATTTAAGAATTTTTTTTAAACTAAGGATTAGTATTTACTTACATTGCACATTTCTCTAACTAATGCTTTTTCTCCATCATGACCTTCTTCTCTTTCTAGTTGTTCTCTGACTTCAAGAACCTGAAGAGCGCGCACTACGGCCTCCGGTCGACTTCCTAAGCCATGAGTATTGTCGTTTGGACTTGTGGGACTGTCCCAAACTTCACCGGGTGGTACTTCCCAACCTTGCGCACGGGCTTGAAGAACACTCTTGTCTTCCTCCAACTGTTTCACTCGTTGTTCTAAACTCCTTACGTACTGCATCGTTTGGTCTGCAAGAGATTCGCAAAGGATTGTAATCACTCAGAGATGCAAGAAAATCATATCTTTCACGTATAATAATACAATATATACAAAATATCATATTATTTGACTGTAAGTTTACTTCAGTATTCAAGTTTCTCTTGCATAATGCACATTTATAATGTCAAATTAATATTATGATATAAATGCAGTGTGTGAGATTTTCTTTTTCTTCTAGAATACCTACAATTTTATATTTTATAATTGCGACAGAATTATTATGTTTTCTGACCGTCTCTTTCGCATTAAAAATGGATTTCGCTTACTAGAATGGTCAATTATTTCTTTTCTTTTAGATTTTACCGTTAAATGTAGAAGTATGCCTCGGCCTCGGCAACGTGGTCTCCTCGGCATTTGTGCTCGAACTCGATCCGTCGCCGTCGTCCCTTTGACCACCACCGCGTTCCTCATCGAGATACAAGCACAGCTCCTTGAGCTCCAGATTGTCCTTAATCAACTCCTGCTGCTTGTTATCAAGTTGACGCAACTTGTTCTGATACGCCGAGACTTCTTGTCGCATAACGCTCACTGTGTATCGACCGAACCTTTGCCACTCTCTCGCTAGCTTACGACCTTTTTGTCGATCGTCGTCCAAAAAGCAGCAGAGATCGCGCAACTCTTGATTGTCGTCGTTCAGTCTTTGGTTGGCCTCCTTCAGCGCCCGCAGCTCGTTCAACTGGAAAGTAGATAGCATTATCAAGCTACACTCGCTCTGCATTCTTTAAAGTCTGGATTTTTGGTAAATCCAATGATAACACTTTGTATTTTCACGAATACCTATTGTGCGAGTGAAAAATAGATTTATATAAATTCGTATGCTGTTATTCAATCGATACTATATAAAAATGCAGTAACAGATGAAGTCTAATCATAAATTTTTAATACAATTAACAAGTTATCTTTACATTTGTATGTTTAATTTTTTTATATATTCGTATATATGTATATATGTATTTTTATCATTTATAATATATATATATATATATATATATATATATATATATATACCACCCAGAGCCACAGTAATTATTATGACATCAAAATGATGTCATAATAATTACTGTGGCTATCTAGGTATATATACACCTTCTTTTATTCAGCCGAATATCTTTTGCATTTATTAAATAATGTGTATGTGTTGCGAGAGAAATAACGGAGTCATTGATCTTGCGGATGACGTATTCGCTCGTGCGCTGCGATACACGCCGATTGTGTCGAAAAGAAGTCTTTCATCACACGTGTACGAGCAACGCGTGACCAATTCCGATTACGCAGTTTCGGTAAAGTCAGCATTTTGCCGGCTAAAGGAAACCAATTGTCCTCGCGATCGTTTGCGGCTTATCTCTCACGTGACTGCTTGAAATTACGACAGTCGCTTCAATCTGCATGACCTACAAGAGCCTCTCAAAATCTTCCATGTGACGCGCTAAAGATTTCAAGGTCAGCGAACCACATTTCGCATCCGGAAAATATAACGAATGTAACAAAATTACGATATTTCGCAATTTTATTGATATGATTTGTGATAAGTATTATGTAGATATTCTTGTGTAATCAATTACTTATAATAGAACTGAATTTATTTCATCCGATAACAATTCATCCAAACGAAAGTCATTAAAAAATGTTAATAGTTAAAAATGATATAAAATAAGTATAATAAACAATTATTTTAGTTTGCGTTATCTATTTCTATCGAATTATATTTTTAGACAGATTTTTGATTAAATTTAAATGCATTTTCATAAATATCTACAATTCCATAGTACGACTCGTTAGCTTTACGATTGATTGACTAATTGATTAATTCAGTCATTTAGACTATCGAAAAATTTGCCAGAAGAACTCACCAAGCTCTGTATCTGGCGATTTTGCTCGGCGGCAAGCCTAGCGATGTCACTCTCGGTCTTCCGTACAAACTTAAGCATCTCCACGGGGCCGAGTCGCAGAAATTCGTCGTCGCTGATTCTTTGCCTAATCGGCGCGCTTTGGCCAGTGTTCACTGTCGGATATTGGCTACTAGGTGGCAAGTACGAGCCTTGGCCGAGCTTAGCTTGTTGAAAATAAGTGGACGGTTGCTGTTGCTGTTGACTCTTTGATGTTGCCACCGACGCAGCAGCAATTAGCGCGTTACCCTGTTGCTGATGATGATGCTCTATCCTCGGCGAGTATTTGCCCTGCACATCTTTCGGCGCCTGCTGCTGCGCTGCTTGTTGTTGTGATTGCGTCAATTGTTGTGGTTGATGTTGCTGCTGCTGCTGCTGCGGATGATGCTGCAAAGTCGACGATGCCGGCGGCAACGTGCGCGGCTGCGTGTTCTGATGATGGTTCAAGGCCGCGCCCGGACCTTGACTGTTGCCGGCCTGAGCCGAATTCGGAGCCGACGTGACTCCGTTGGCGAAGTGAAGATGATTCTTCAGGATGCCGCTGGTGGGCTGCGGCGGGGGTTGATAACGCGGCGGTAGCTGGTCCACTGACTTGATCACGTGCGGAGGATGATGCTGCTGCTGCTGCTGGTGTTGCGGCTGTTGCTGCTGCTGCTGCTGCGGCTGGGACTTACTCTTATTGGACATCGCGGCTAATTTAGCTCCAGGCTGCGCCGTGTCCCATTTCAGAAAGTCCGTCGCAGTCTCCTCGCGCCTGTTCGACCCGCCAAAATCTGGGTCAGCGCGCGGTCTCTCACGAGAGACGGCGAGCCCGGTCCGCGTGACCGGCCCCGCGCGATACATACGTCGTTCCCTCCACGTCTTCCGGGCCTCGCCTTATCGCCGTAGGGGGCCCTACACGCGCGCTACTCTCTCAACGGCCGATTTTCTGGCTTCTTCTTCCTCTTCCTCTTCGTCTCTTTGGCCTCTTCTCTTTACCTTCTTCTCTTCTGTCTTCGCCTCTTTTCGCGCGCTTCTCGTTCCAAGTACACCTGCCAACGGCGCCTAACTGTTGTGCGTTTACGACGCAAACAGAAAACTCTCGCGAAGGATTTCTTTCAATCTTCCGTAATCCTGCTCTAGCGAGATCCGTTATGAGTCGGTTATAATGTCCAGTTTCCCTTCTCGCCGTCAGTTAGCTAATATTAGCTTTATGTCCGCAATACAGATAGTTTCGTGGTCCCGGAAAAGGCAGAGAGAAGCACTTATCTCCTCGGTAACTTTATACGACGATTAACTGAAGATGAAGAAAACGGACACTATTCGCTTTTGCGAAGCTATGAGATTACGCCATCGCATATTCTACAAGAAATTGAACTGTTGTGAGTCTTTCACCATTCACTTAGTTAAAATGTCATTGGGAAAGATTATATAAAATCATATTATTTCGTACAAATTCGAACGAGATTGTTAACTATCTTCAATATTATTCACTGCTAAACAATATATTTGATGTGAATACAATTTGTACTATTTATTTTGAAAATTACTCACTATTGAATCCACTACCACGATACGATATCGTACAATCCATACATGCGTCAGCGTCACTCTCGTTACAGTCGCACAATCACGGCCTTCGCGTTCAACTTAAGCCTATGCTGCTTACAATCGACATACCAGTCTCTCGTACACTAATCCCCGGCGCAATGCCACGAGTAACACCGATTCCCCTCTATTACGCGTCTCCTACGTCTCTCTCCAGCTTCGGTGCCCTTTGCTTCAGTGGATCTAAGCGCGAAGCATGGATTATATCAAGCTCTTCTCCTAACATTCACACGCTTTTTGCCTCTTTTCTTCGTGATTTTTTCTCTTCAGTATATCATAAATCTCTATAAAGCACGAATGATATTAATTCACACGTTTTCTATTAAAAAATATCTTTCTTTTCAATATATATTAAATCAATTTTCGTTTATTAACATGATATTCTTCTTCACTTCTGCTTCGACGTAACGAGATACGAGATTATATCAATTTCTCCTTATCAGCATGATTACATGCCACAAATATTTCGCCTTGACTCGCAAGAAGAACAAACATACATTGTCTTGTCAATTCCAACGTGCCACTTTGACTTGGAGAGACGCGAATCGGAGCAATTCAGTCCTACGTAGCTGTCATTCTGGCACTGAGAGTCGATGGCGGGAAGCCTCGCTAATTCGCGACGTGTCCTCCACTCGTGATCGTCGTCATCTCACCTGGCTTCCCGCCTCTACGCATTCTTCGGATTCGTAGTCCCTTGGAACGCGCGCGCATTCCGCATTATCAGCTGCCAACTATGCACCGCCCGAGCCTCATCTAAGTTTCAGGTATACCTGAGGCCCAATCGTCGCGTCGTTCTGCGTCCTCAGGAGAGCCTCACCGGTTCGCCACGAGACGACTGCCGTCACTGCACTCCGGACTCTGGTAATGCCCAGCGATCCTCTCGCTCGCTCGACGGCGAACAGTGGGCCGGATCCCCGTTTTTCTCACCGCTGGGCCGCATTTCACGGGATGCCAGTGCCGTACTCACTCGACTGGACCGACTCGTAGATAGATGTATTCGTCGCCAGATATGTTGCATACATGTCTCCTTTTCTCACGTTTCAAATTTCATTGCTTTCCCTTCATCTGTTTTTCTCGTTCTCCTGGTGTAACAATATCCTGAGTATCTGAAAATCAAAATTAGTTGTTGAATTTTATTTGATATAAAGTCTACGATTTGTCGCGAATTTATAAATATCATTGTTATTTATAAATTCATAATTCGAACGAATTATTGAGCTAATGTTTCAACTTTTACTGATTCTCATATGGGCCCCGACATGTATAACTCGCATCAAAATTGCATACCGGCAATAGGGCGTTTACTTGGGACCTGAAGTAATTTTGACGATGCCGGGTCTTACAATCTTACGATTGGCTCGCTCGAGCAGAAAAGGGAAAGGGTTGAAGCATGAGTTCCCAAGTCGTGGGAGGTTGCGAGACTACGGATTGTAGGACCCCGTTTAATAGCGACAATGAAAAGATCGATGCTGATAATTCATTATTACATTATGCTAATTGAAATTTATATAATTGTATAACTTTTATATTTCAAAAATGAATTAAATTTTAAAGCATAAATCATAGTTCATTCCTGTCTTATTCCATTATTTTTATTGGAATAAACAATATAAAAATTAAAAGAAATCAATGTGTAAATTTATATTATGCAAAGTTACTTTTACTTCTGATAATATCTAGAATTCCGGGAGATCCGATTAAGAGTGTTTCAGAATTGTATAACAATTTTTTTAAGTATTATTCTTACTGCTTATTCTTGAGGGATTATTTAATGATGGATTTCTTTTCTAGCTCTCTTTTCCAGTACGAACTTAACATCTAACTTCACAGCAAGTTCGTAGTAATTAATTGTAGAGTTTTCCATGAGACTTTCCGTCTGTTTAAGTTTTCAGCGAAAAACACTGATCGTATGTACGATGAACGAGAGAACATTAGCATATGCAAGTAGAAGCGTGTGGTGCATGTAATTTCCATTTCGATGCATTGCGTCGACGGAAGAAAGGTCATTTATTCCTTCGCTGATTACTGATGTAGCACCTGTAATTGCATATAGAAAATATTTATATTTAACAATTACACACACACACACACACATATATATATATATATATATAAAAAAGTGCAATTTCAGAAAATTCATATTTTTTGCGACAAAAATAGCTATTTAGAATAAAATTACTCTAGAAAAAAATTATAAGAATTTGCAAGTCTAAAATCAATTTGTCGCTTATCGAAATCTTTTTAAAGCCATGTAAAAAACTATGATGTCGATTTTTCGCCGACTGTACTGCGCGGCAGGTGTTACTTCTTCATGCTTGTTCGCCAGAGAAGTAATCTTCGAAAATATTCTACCTTTTGATACAACGGGGATGCACCTGCGTTCCAGTGCCGTCTACGTTTCACGTTAGATAGCAGAGATGAGCAATGAAGGGATCAGGTAAAAATTTCAAAGCGTCCCTTTAAATCCGGTTTGTCGATGAGACATCGGAATGCCGGAAAACGCTTCCATCAAGTCCATTGCGTGACGTCTATTGTGCTTTCATAGGAAAGTATTCATATGTAAAATGTAAATAAAACAAAGATATATATGCGCCATTTTGACTGAAATATCGTTTGATCAAATTCATTGCATCGAAACATATAAAATCAATTGATCAAGATTCATATAATGTATATAGTTGAATTAATATGAAAATTCTCATCTAAAGAAAAATACATAAATAATTAAGGCCAAAGTATACCTTATTCCAAATATTTAATGCAGCAAGTATCGATACATGTTTCTTTACATGTAATTTGATTATGAATATTCTTCGTCAAGATATAGATTTCATGTACCAAAATGAGAAAATTTTGAATTTTTCAAGATTGTATATTCAATTCATCAAATACAATACCATTTCAATACTAATCTTCATCAAAGCAAGCGTAAAAAAACATTCTGAATTTAGAAAAAAAAAACAATTAAGGAGGAACGTTGATTATGCGATGTAGATTGTAGATCAAACCTGATCGAACCTGCGTGGTTATGTTTTACCTACCAGATATCGGTAAAAGAGTTCAGAGAAAATGTTCCAAATTCCACCGACAGATGGCGCTGAGGGCGCGAAAGCTCGCTGACGCAGCGGCGCCTGCGACTACATTCAAGCCGCATCCAGCAGTGTGTACACATCGGGGGCGAGAAGCACGTAATCCCGCAGCGGAACATAGGAAAATCAATGGCTGGGACGAGGTGTGTCGACGACGACGGTCTCGGAATTTAAAGCACTGCGCCCGGGGAACGAGGACGACGTTGATCGCGCGATTTCGCGAGTAGATCCAGCAAAGTCACTTTTTCGTCTCGCACGGCCGGAATCGAGTGAAGTCAGTCGTCGGTCGCCGCAACCGCGTGCAACGATAATCGCGATATAAGCGCGTTCACCAGGTGCATTGCAACCCTCACTTCACGACCGATTGGCCGTTCTTCGTCTCATCATGATACACGAAAACGTCTCTCGGCAGTCTGGCAATCTCACCGAAAATGTTCGCCGCATGAATGTCCAGAGGAACTTCCGCGCGACATATCGGATCAGGGTCTGCAACCCGGATTAGACACGATGATGCTGCATGCTGGACAGACCAGGTAATTCAATAGATCATTTTATATCGTCTCGGAATAATCGATATAGTCATCAAATGTCATTAATCTATCACTTCCGTAATTGATGATATATACACATGTATTGAAAAAATTGACAAATAATGTTGTTTCGATAATGAATCGAATGTGATCGAATATATATAATATGATTTGCATAATTAATAATATATATATTATATATTATTAGCAAGTGACATGGATTATTATATAATATTAGCAATATATTTACGAATATGATCATGTAAAGTATTTATATATAAAAATTATGACATAAAATATAATATAAAAAGAAAGCCGTATCTAAAAAAAATTGGAGGAATAATGTGAGAAATGAAAATAAAAATTCATTCGAGACGCACATAAATATATATAAATTTTCCCGAAAAATATAAAAATTTCTAATATATATTCATTTTTAACAATTTGCGTTTTTCATTAGTTTTTTTTATTAAATGATGAAATTACAAATTTCATAATGGTTTTTCTTTTATAATTATAGAAAATTATGTTGAATGTATATATAATATTTGCACAATTTGATAAAATATTCAGCAAATGAAAAGCTAAAGCCTTGCATACAATAAAGATAATATTAGAAATAAATATTAAATATTAGGAATAAGAATTATTTTAAAATAATAAAATCAAAAAGATTTATATATATATATATACAAAAGATATAAAAGACTAGTAAGGGCTAATAAACTAGAACCCTTTATACTCGAATTTGTATTTTCTATATCAATTTTTTGGATTTTATTATTTTAAAATAATTCCTATTCCCCCAATATTTAATTTTTGTTCCGAATATTTTTTCTATTGTACGCAGTCTAATGTAATTCGACTCTTGTTTTTTTGCGATAAATCGATTCTCACGTAATTCGATTCCACGAGAGAGATTCGATAGAATTTATCATCGTAATTTTAATCCTGAATTTAACAATATAGATTATATTTCTAGTCTTTGCTGCTTGATATTTACTTTGTAGCTAAAAAATGTGATTTCCAATTTCAAAAACAGTTGTGTAAATTAAATTATAAATTATCAAAAATCGAAGTTTATAATGCAATCAAGTGTGCAATTTTCTTGCGCACATTATTTCAAATTTTTTATTTATTCTTATTGTCTAAAATAAGCATCGTAATCTTTTTTTTATAATTTTACAAATGCCTGATTATATTAATTAATAGACATCAGTGAGCGATATAATTATATCGCATTGTTTTAATAAGCAGTTATCGCAAAATTATCGGTATATATATAGCTACATAAAAAATAACAGAGCAGTATATGTACATGTTTATATCTATGTTGCGATATATTTGCACATATATATGTATGCATGTATGATTTATTATATACATATCTCTGTCGGGTCTCATTAAAAATATATTATTTGCAATAAATTACGAATAAAAAGTGTCTGTTAAATTTTAAGGGAAATTTAATTTAAAGATATCAGAAATATGTGATATGTGTGATAGAGAATCAGGATATATATCTACTGGATAGTAATTGAATATTCTACTGCGCGCGCGTTTGAATATGCATATATATGCACAGTTGATCTAATTTCGGAATATAGACGGCTCTTCCATGACGGTTCTAGTTACGTTACGCAATTTTCTATAATATCTGGAAATAATTCATTAACTATGACAGAAGAGCGTAAGCTTTATTTATACACTGTGTGTAAAATTAAATAACCTTAATTTACTAAACCTTACGTTTATTGCGTAGTTATACGGACTAATAGTCACAAGAAATAAACTGTTTAAGTTAATAAATAAATTGATCAATTAAATCTAGCAACTAAATGATTGGTAAAAATTACTCATGAAAAAATTATTTTTATTTTCTATTTATAGCTTATTGATATCAATATTTCTTTTTCTCGAGGTATTTTCGCAAACAATTAATTATTAAATTTCTAATAAAGAACTAAAGAATTATTAATTTGTAACTTTTGTCATATATTACGCGAATTATTTCAGCTAGATAGGGAGATGTTTAGGTTCCTCGATCGACGTAGTTTAATAATTAATAATCAACGTTTATAATAATTAATGTCACACATTTGCATTTATCATATACATGAATTATTGCTCGGTAATTAAGAAATATTAAATCAAAATCTGTTATTAAACAGAACATTATTTCACATTCAAATATATTTTTACTCGCAAAATTTTATTAGATATTTTAATTAGTTGCGACGTTTGCTTCAAATAATAATATTGATTATATTTTTTCTTTCTCTTCTTCTGAGTTTTTTTTCTAATTTCACAATTTGGTCAACTCGTTCATTAATGCTAGAAGATATACTTAGACATCGTGATAATTTGATAACCTTGTGGTCGAATATACTTGAAAACACGACGCAATAAAAGTATCCAGACTTGTCTGACTCACACCCGAAGAGATGAAACTCATTAAATTTTATTGTAATCTCTTTCGAATTTATTTTACTGATATATTGTGCAAAAAAAAATGATACTTTTTTATCTCAATAACTTCAATTCACAGCTTTTATATAAGTTATATTTTGTACAAAAATTAACGAGTTTTGTCTATATTGCATATATCATTTATTTTCTCCTGTTATATCTATAAAGTATATATATTTTTTTAGTTCCATTTATATATGCAAAAGATTAATTTTAAAAATTAATTATAAAAGTCTACTTTTGTGTAAGGTTTAAAGGCTTATGTTATCAAAGAATCGGATATATATTGGAAAAGAACCGTAAGCCCTTATTTCTTGCGTAAAAGATATCGGATTTTTTTTGTTGCGTTCTAATGTTATGACGTCAAGAAGTCAGTAATATCAATTTTCATATTACAAGTACTCGAAAATCTTGAATTAATTTAAAAAAATATAAATAGTTAGTTCACACCATTTGTGAATTATTTTTATTAGCTCGCTCTAATGGAGGACTTTAGTTTCAAAGAAATATTCAATATTTTGAAGATCGAAGTTATAGCTGGGGTGCAATTTTCCTTGTAGGTTACAGAAAAAATGGGGCGCTGTGTAAGGGTGATGCTATTTAACTTTTAACACCGTTTGTCCCGGCTATCTTTTTATCGATGTCGTATGCGGATAGCTTGGATCGATAAGGAACGACCAATATATATAATGTAGGGAAGATGTAACATAATTTCGCGATGTAACATTGTAACTTGGCAGAAATGTCATCTGTTTTTCGCAGAAATACATCGCAATAAGCTTTTTTCTGCTAAATATATATATATATTTAGCAGAAAAAATATTTATATATAAAATTTCTGCTATATACAGGGTGTCTGACATAAGGTGTCACACTGAAAATATATAGGTAGATGTTTTTATTTGGAGACAATTTTTCCTCGGTAAAAACCTTGAGACGTCAATCATTTTCGAGTTATAAGCGATTGAAAATAAAGGGTTTTTCGCAAACTCAGGCTTGTGGAAATAAAGTATTAACAAAATCACATTCTCCAATTAATTTTAAGTAGAGTTTACTTTAATAAAATTTTAATATAAAGTTTAGTTATAAAGATACATGATGGCAAAAGTTGGGAACATGCAAAAAATGTTGACCTCCTTCGACATTTTTGTTGAGAAAAAATCGTCTCCAAATGACAAGATCTACTTGTATATTATCAGTGTGACACTTTATGTCAGACACCCTGTATACATATATATAAAATTAAAACCGTTTATAGTCAGCATTAATTACAAATAATAACGGAGACCGCGGTCAACATTCGAATACATTAACTCTTTCGATACGTACCTGTCGCATATTATAATGAAGCTATATCTCGATGAGAAAAAAAACGGGGTTTTTATTACCTAGGATTAGTCACATTATTTCTGAATATCATTTTATCAATAATAAAATTTTCAGGCGAAAATTAATTGCGAAAGATAAAATATCTAACAATAAGCTGACGTATAGAGATGCTTTACTTATACTACTTATATATTATTATTGCATTGTATATTTGTGCCACAACACATTTTACTAATTAGGTTTACACAAATAATTCTTTAATATTATAATAATAATTATTATATATATATATATATATATATATATATAATTATTATATTATTAATATAATTATTATATTATTATTATAATTATTATATATAATATAATTATTATATTTAATATTTTTCTTTATTAATAATTATTATGATATAATATTCATATCTGAATATGATGTATTATAATTTTTTATCTACATAATAATTACAGAATGTGATTTCTTTTTTTTGTCATATCTCTCTTTCTCTCTCTCTATCTCTATCTCTATCTCTATGATTTCTTCTGCGAAATCTAATTTTCTAGAATGTGGAGAAAAACTACTAATTATAGGAAAGTTGTATCGCAAATGCATCGTACCATGACGGTCATATACCGCGAGAGGATTAATATCTCGCGGCTGAAATCGCCATTCATCGCGCGGCCTTCGAATACGCGTCCGCTTCCGCGGAAAAAGCGATCGTGTGTAGCGTGCACGTTTCAGTACGACGCCGACCGTCGCCGGGTGAGGAGCAACTTTACACCGTCGTGATTCTTGCTCCGGAAATCATTGTCCGACCGACGAAGGTTGCGCGTTCTTTGGTAATCGGTTACAATAGTGTAGAGCAGCGGCAGGAAAATCGGCGTATTGAACAGACAGAACGAGTATGGTAATTATATTTTTGTAATATTTTTTCCGATTCTTTTTTTTCTTTAAGGATTTACACACGCGCGATTCTTTTGACGTTCTACATGAGAAACAGCTACGTCGTGGACAGCAATTTAGTTATTTTATCGATCCGCAATTATATCCGTCTGAATATCGAAGAAGATATAAAGTGACAGTATGATTGACGGTTGGAAAATAAAAAGGAAATGGGAAAAACGTGTTGCGCATACGTCACGGAACTTTCTAAGATCTTTGTTGCGATTCGCGTGACGCAAATTGTATCAAAAAAATTTTTCAAAAG